GGTAAATTTTACAAAGGACCAAGCAATTTGAATAGTGTACATCTTGTCTTCTCAAATTCATTGTCCATTTTGTTGTAGAAAAACTACTGAGATACCAGAATACCAGATACCAGAATTTATGTCCATGATATGCTGAGCTGTGCACTGTGAGGAAGGCGGAAAGTTTCAGTAATATTTTTATTAACCATATGTCTGAATCAAGGTGCCTACTTTTTACTGCTACCCATTGTGAGGAAAGGGTAAAGGCTAGGGGTTTGAGTCACTAAACTGTTTCGCTTGGAATCAGACCGTTTAAAAAGAACTGGCTGGAATCTATGCACATGAATGAAAGACCCTGTCTTTACAATGGAAAAGTCAAGTTCCAGGCCGTTAATACTTAACCACTGGGACAGCCAAGACAAGAGCAGGCTACTTCCTCCAACATTCTGTAGGGAAGCAAAGTGAAAAGATCACCGCTAGAAATACTTCCTACGGCCTGATCTACACTACACAGTTAGGTCGATGCAAGGCAGCTTACATCAACCTAGTTGTGGATGTGTCTACACTTAAATTTTGTTCCCACTGACGAAACTGCCCCACTACGTCCACTTAACACCACCTCCCCGAGCAGCATAGAGTCAAGGTTAATGTAAGTAGGTTGACATGGTGTCAGTGTAGACACTGCATTACTGTTACTGGCCTCCAGGAACTGTCCGACAGTGCCCCAGCCTGACCGCTCTGGTCACTATTGTGAACTCCGCTGCCCAGGGCCAGATGGACAGGAAGCTGCCCCTTCCCCTTAAAATCCCACAAATTTTTGAAATTCCTTTTCCTTGGTTGCCCGGCTTGGCGAGCACATCTAGCAGCTCTCCATTGTTGTGTGCAATGCCCAGCTGACCACGACAGCTAAACACTGCAGACACACTCTTGCCTAGAGTACACAGGAAGTGTTGGATCTCCTGGGTCTGTGGGGAGAAGAGGCTGTGCAGGCATAGCTCTGATCCAGATGTAAAAATGTCAACATCTACAAGCAGGGGGTGTGCAGGAGAAGGGGTACAACAAGGACCAGTAGCAGTGCCGTGTGAAAGCCAAGGAGCTGCAGCAGGCATACCAGAAGGCAAGGGAGCCCAACAATAGATCTGGTGTGGAACCACAGACCTACCACTGTTACAAAAACCTGCATGCCATCCTTGGTGAAGACCTCACCACCACACCCAAGAGTCCCGTGGATACTTAGGAGGAGCCCAAGTCTTAGGCCCCCACTGTGAACAGCGAGGAGGAGAAGGAGGTGGATGAGGAAGAGGAGGATTATGGGGGACAGTGAGCCAGAACATGTTTTTTACTCCAGTGCAGTCCAGCCAGTCACGACAGTTGAGCACAGGTAACTTTGATGCAGGGGAAGCATGGGCAACAGCTATCATAGGCTGCGGGAGGCGGTACCTCCCCAAACAGCCAGGTATGGCCCCACCCACACTCCACCCCCAGGCTTCCCCACTCCTGCTTCCCGCTCTGCAGCTTCCCCTGTGCTGTGGCCCCAGCTTGGGCCCTTCTGGTGCTGGTGGGGGCTGGGCCCACATCACCCGCACTCACAGAGCCTTCAGAACTCTTGGGTGAATACCATCTGGTCCTGGTGACTTATTGCTGTTTAATTTATCAATTTCTTTTTTGGCCTTCCTAATTGTATTTTTACACTTCATTTGCCAGTGTTTATGCTCCTTTCTATTTTCTCACTAGGATTTAACTTCCATTTTTTAAAGGATGCCTTTTTGCCTCTCACTGCTTCTTTTACTTTGTTGTTTACCACGGTGGCTCTTTTTTGGTTCTCTTACTATGTTTTTTTATTTGGGAAATGTTAGTATTCTTTAATGTTAGTATTCTTCAGCCAATAATTGAATTATCCAGTAATACCAGCTGAATGTGATTCAAAATTATCAAAATAATTGATGGAGTCTGCACTATTTTCAGTGCATGTTTCCTAGTTCCTGGAAATTTTAATAAAATGCTGGCTCAAATTAACCCCTAATCTTGTTGAGTAGGAAATATTTACTGCAAAGAAAACTTCTTCTTACGGGATAATGAACTTTATAAGTAACTGCTCCAAAATGATTTATACTGGCTGGTGGATAAGAAGAAAAACATTAATAATTCAGAGTATATACTTCCACTCACTGAACAGGCTTTGACCATAATTGAAAGTCAAGATTCCAGCTCTAGTACAGATTCCAGAAATAACAACATACTTATGGAATATAGTTCAAAACCAATTAGGACAGACAAATCTATACAATAGCAACAAGTTATTCAAAATATATGCTAGACCCATCAATAATTCTTCCCTAAAATAACTTTGATCCAGTGCATAATTAGGTTTGAAAGGTATTACTCACAAAGAAACCTGGAGAGGTCAGTAATAGTTTAAACAGAAACATACTGTACTCACGCGGTCTACATGTGTGCAGGCTGTCACTTGGAGGTTTCAAAGCATTAATCTGATTGTGTGAAAACTGTGTAAGGTAGGATATTATTTAACTTGCTTACAAAAAGGGTTCCAGTTCAGTGATGATCCAGACACATTCATGTGTCTATTAATTACTCCCGAGGGAATTCTGTGCCAAAAATATAAAAATTCTGTGCACAATATTTTAAAATTCTGCAAATTGTATTTGTCAATAAATAAAGGTGGAGGCTCCAGCATGGCAGTGGGGAGCACAGGCCACTGACTGCATGCAGGTGGGAGATCACCCTGCAGCCCTTCTCCCTTCCCACCCGGACACGGACTCGGTGGTGAGGCTGCACCTAACCCTGACACAGCACAAGGGCCGGGCCTGCCCCAGAAACACTCCGGGGCCCTGCCCCTCTGTGTGGGCAGGCAGGCTCAGCAAGGCAGAATCCAAGTGTGGAGGGGCTTAATGTGGGGGGATCCAGCTGTGGGCTGAGAGGGTTCTCAATCTAATGTGGGGCAATCTGGGTATGGGTGGCTCAGTTGGGGATCTGGTCACGGGGGGGGATCTGGATGCACAGGGGCTTGTTGGAGGGCCTGGGTGCAACACTAATGGGACTCTGCAGGGGGGTCCAGGTGAAGGTGGTTGTGGCTCAGCGGGGAGGGAGTCGGGGGGGGGGGGGGGGGGGGGGCAATGGGGGGGCCAGATGCTGGGGGAGTGGGCCTTATTGTGGTGGGGCTCCAAGTGCAACTGGTTGGGGCTTGGTGAGGTGGGAATCCCGGTGCAGTTGGCTCATCGGTGCAGGGGGAATGGGGCTCATCAGGAGGGTTCTGCGTGCAGGGGGTGAGGCTCAGTGGGAGGGTCTGGGTATGAGGTGGTCTGGATGCATGGGGGTTGGGCAGATGGGCGAGTAGCTCCCTGTACAGGAATCCTTCCCCCTCAAGAGCACTGGGTGCAGGAAGCGGGCAGGGGAGAGTTTGCAGTTTCCTACAGCCAGGGGAGAAATCTGGGGGCGGGTCTGACCCGGCCCTGGATGCCATGCAGGGGAAGAGAAAGTCCCACCCTCCCCAGCCCAGCCATGACTAGCAGCTGAGCCCAGCACAGCGTAAGAGCCACCAGACGGGTCTTCACCAGTCCCGACCCCTGCCCCACAGTGATTTATCTCTCAGCCACCTGAAACATACTGCTGGGGAGGGTCACATGACCGCTCTTGTGGCTTCCCTTTGCTTTCCCTTTCTGTGGGGAAGCAAAGAAATCTATGGGGGGACATAAATTCTGTGCCTGCACAGTGGCACAGAATTCCCCCAGGAGTAAATTTGTTCAGGGCTGTACTGAGGCAGCCTGAATGCCACAGATCAAGCAAGCCACAGAGAACAACTCTTATTCCAGTTGACCAAAATATATTAAACATATTGATTATTGTCTACAGCAATCGTTTGCAGAATAGAAACAGCCATTGTGATACAAAGCTGAAACAGGATTGACATTTGACTGTTGAAATAGGTGTTTATTTTCCATAGTGTTTTGCCTCAGTGCTGAGTCAGCAATAGGCAATCCTAGTTCTGGAAATTACTTAATGCCATGTAACATCATTTCATTAGCAATCGCTAATCTAGTGCCTGCATGCAATTCCAAATGCTTGCATAGACCTTCCAACCATCACTCGTCATACATTTTCAAGTAATTTTATATAGTAAATATTGTATGAAAGATTAAATGGGCAACACATAAAATTGAAATCCTCATGTTGATTAAAGCGACTGTTCTATATGATTAACAACATGACCAAAGCAATAAAATGTATATCGCAAACAAGAATATCAGCACTTGCTTTAGCTTTTTGGCTGGATAGTCTTGTGAAAACAGTGCTCTGCTTAGTGCATGATCGCCCCACACAGTAGCATTTAACCTCAGAAAGGGAAACTACACAAAAATAAGAAAGCTAGTTATACAGAAGTTAAAAGGAACAGTCACAAGAGTGAAATGCCTGCAAGCTGCATGGAAACTTTTTTAAAATACTGCAAGAGAGGTTCAAATTAAATGTATTTCCCAAATTAAAATACATAGAGGACCAAAAAAGTGTGCTCATGGCTAAACCAGGAAGCAAAAGAAGTGATGAAAAGCAGACAGACATCCTTTAAAACTGGAAGTTGCATTCTACAGTGCAAAATAGAAAAGAGCATAAACTCGGGCTAACGGCCAGCACCAATGAGCGCTCCCGTCCAGCCGGTAACCTGCAACCAGGGCTGTGCCTCCCTAGCCCCGCCTGCAGCTGACCGGGCGCCCCCTAGCAGCAGGGCAGCGACCGAGCCGCACACGTGGAAGGCAGCCCGCGCGCGAGACCGGCTCTGGCGGGGTGGGGGGAGGCTAGCCCGGCCTCCCTCCCCGAGCACGCGCAGCAGTAACCCTCCTCCCGGAGAAACCGAAACCGCCTGTGTGCGCCTGCGCAGGAGCGGGTTGCACGCGAGCTGGGCGGAGTCGGGGAAGCCTCGGCCAAGGCGGAGCTGGCGTTGCGAGGGGCTGGGCGGGAGCAGGGAGGAAGCGGAAGAAGGGAGCGAACGAGCGTGGGTCGGGGTCGGGTCTGGCCATGGACGCGGCGGCGCTAGAGCTGGACGCGGTGAAGTTCGCCCAGCTGGCGGTGCAGAGAGACCAGGGCGGGCGCTACCAGGAGGCGGCCTTTTACTACAAGGTGCCGGGACCCCTCCCCCCCGCTGCAGCCGGGATCGCCCCGGGACCCGACCCCTCCCCTCCGCTCCCCTCCGCTGCAGCCGGGATCGCCCCGGGACCCCTCCCCTCCCCCCCCGCTGCAGCCGGGATCGCCCCGGGACCCGACCCCTCCACTCCCCCCCATCGCTGCAGCCGGGATCGCCCCGGGACCCCTCCACTCCCCCCCATCGCTGCAGCCGGGTTCGTCCCGGGGCCCCTCCCGGGAGCTCCCTACCTCCCGGATTTCATGTAGCTGCCCCGGGTGTTCCCGTCTACTGCATGGATGCCCCCCGCCCGCACACATTACTCACATCTGTGTCCCCCACACTGTGAGGATCCTCCTCCACCCGGGGCGTTAGTCCTAGGACTGGACTGTGGGGACCGGAAGATCGCCTGGGCTTTTGGCACTGACCAGTCACAGCTACCAAACGGGCATGGAGGGGGAGATGGGGGGATTGTTTAGTGGGGGACTCCTCCTTGAGTGCAGCCCAAGGTGTAAAATGGTGGCTTGGGGGGAAGATATATTATCAGATCCCATGGCTGTTTGTCTGAATGAAGGGAGGGGAGACAGTCTTCTTTAGAGCAGTGAGTATTAAACACTTGTGGCCCATCTTCGTGGAGAAGGGAAGTGAATGGCTATGCATGCAATGGGTTTCCTTTTGATCTCATCCCCACCCATTTTTCTTCCCTGAGGATTGGGGGGCTTTACCATTACTTTGAGACATTTACCTGATCAGAGATGATTTAGAAAAACACATTTGGCATGAGGGGTGATGATGGAGCTGGGTAACCTGTATCCTTAAATACAAGTTCAGAAATATGGTTTCCCTAGGTTATTTTTAAACTGCGGAAACTAATAAACTACCTGTGTGTTTTAAAACTGGTTGGACTTGTCATCTGGAAGCTACTTACAAATGGGAGCAGATGGAGTTCCAGCCCACAGAAACTTAACCTCATTATTGCACGTCAGGAACCTTAATGTGATCTCATTGCAAAAGGAAGAGAAATACAATGTTTTTCTTCTGTTTTTGTGGTGCATTTCACAGGTAGCCCCTGGAGACATTTTTGCTTTTGGTTAACAGTGAAGTGGGAAGATTTATCTGTTTAACATCAGAGATCTAAGAACAAAGTATGCTAGAAAACTGTAAACGAACAAATTTGGGCTATTAAGTACTGTACACAGTAGCAATCAGCCTTAGCTGTATTGTTTATGACAAAATGAGTAACTGAAGTGGTGAAGCCCCAATGCAAAAGGTTATTAATGGGATGAGTTCAAACCACATACTACTTGTGTATTCCCATATAATGATTCTTGGCTTATACTTATGCAGCCTTTCATCTAACAGCACTTTACAAACCTAACTGCACTCTGAGGTCTCGGTTTTAATAGCAACTGTTTAGCTGTGTGAGGTTAGCATGGAGAGGTTACATGATCTGCCCATGGTCTCGTGTCACATTCGTGGCACTCAGAATAAAATCCTGACTTCCAGTCTCTGGCCACAGCTGCTACACAATACTTCCTCTGAATTATTTTGATTATGTTGAAGTGACAAGTTCTAGTCCAGTTCAGATGTAATACATCAGCTTTATGGTATCTACAGAATATCCATGCAATTTTTTTGTTTTTTATTTGGCGCACACTTGTCCTATCAGTAAGCTTTTAAAGACTGACTATAAAATACTGATTGTTTTCTATCTAGACTTTTTATTGACTAGCAGTAGTAACTCTGACAGCATGACCATTCTACAGTTATAATAAAATAGCTTGGGATGTTCATCTTTTGAACAGCTACCTTTGTGCTGTAATGGTGCTTATCTTTTGAAGACTTTTGCCTAATCAGAAGTGATAGTCTGATTATTATTAACGAGGCTCCACATAGACACAGATGTCTTGGGGCCTGATCTTGCAGGTTCTCCTTGTGCAAACTTCATTATACTTACCGTATATACTCGTTCATAAACCGAATATTTTTGATAAAAAGGTGACGCATCAAAGAGCGGGGGTTGGCTTATAAACGGGTCTACACCAAATTTGATTATTTTAAACTCCTATGGAATCATTGAATTGAATATCTAATACATTTTCGTTTTGTTTACCTGGAGTGTCTGCAGGCACGGAGCCCCTCAGCTCCCTGTGGCCACGGTTAAGCCAGGGCACTGATCTAGTATAGACAAGTCCTAAGAGATGGCTTTATAGACTCTCAGGAAGCTCATTTTAATTTTGCAGGTCACTCCATGTGCTAAAATATTAAGTGGAAGGAAAAACAACAGAGGCCTCAGTTGTGACTTGAAACAAGTTTTGTGCAGGCAGATCCTCCTTGAAGTCGTTGTGGCGCTTTGCAGGCCCAGGGGCTCACCTGCATAGAGCTCATTGCAAGCTCATAACCCCATCTTGGAGGAAGGACTTCTTCCTACAGCAAGCAGATTTATTGCATGTTAACTTTTCCCTCAGGAAGCTGCCCAAGCCTTGATTTATGCTGGAATGGCAGGCTCAAACTTGGAAAATATTCAAGAGAAGATAAATGAGTACTTGGAGAGAGTTCAAGCTCTGTATTCAGCAGGTTGGTGAAGAGCTTTCTAATTATATACTTTAGATTAGATTCACTGAGTGGGAAGAGGTATGGTCCTGTCAACCATATAGCTGAATTACTATATTTCATCCGATATCCAGAACCCCCCAACACATGAGTAAGCTGAGTGCTAAGATGCATCACAAATGAAGCTTATTTAGGGGAATTATTTCATATTAACATGGATAGACTTTTCTACTAAATATTCTTACATAAGGAAGTGGAGCACTTCTGTCATGGTAAATTTGAGAAAATGGTTTAGCCATAGCACGCAAAAAAAAAAGAAGCCAAGAACAAATAACACCTAACACATGCATTTAGGTCCTATTTCTGTACTGAAATCTATGTAGGTGGACTCCTGCTCTTTTGTGGAATGCTGCGTGGTCACGGGTTCACTTGTGATTTCATTGCAGTATTGGTGCTTGGGCCTACAACACACAACTCCCACTGAGTCTTACCAAGTTCATTTATCTCAACAGGAGTTTTTTCCAAAGAAGTACAGGATCTCACCATATTTTATAGACAACAATTAATCCATGTATAGTATTAAAGTTAACTATATTCATATTTTTATTTCAAATTTACAGTACCCTGAGGGACAATGTCTCTAGTTCCTATGTTGTTCCTTTCTTGTATCGTGTCTTTTAGCTTAAAATCTGACAGGATGTTTAAAAGTGGTGTTGGTTTCTGGCCCATGAGCAGACATAAGCTATGTGACCATTGTGTTCTTGCTTGCCCATTGTAATAAAGATTTTTCCACCCAAACAGCCATCACAGCTAGCTAAATGCTGTATTTTTTAAAATCTAGTTCAATCACAGAACACCGACCCCCTGAAGTCAAAACAGCAATTGGACCTGGAGCGTGCCCATTTCCTGGTTACACAGGCTTTTGATGAAGATGACAAAGGCAATGCAGAGGAAGCTATAGAATTGTACACAGAAGCAGTGGAACTCTGTTTGAAAACAGTATGTTATGCTACAAGTTAACTTGGTGGAATTATGTGTTGGTAAGAAATTCTTCCATTTACACAGGTGACTGATCTTTAGAGACTGGCTTAAAAATGTAGTACCTGTATTTTGATTTTTTTTTTGTTTTGGTGTTTTATTTGCCTTCTGTTCTCTACATCCCATTGAAAAATACTTTGCATACATTGGCTACATTCACTTGATCCTGCACTGTTCTTCAACAGTGTAAAATTGATATGTGGTTTTTTTTCTTCCTAGACTCTCTCTTTAAAATGTATATAAACCATATAAGTTTGCTGGAATATTCTTTTGGAATCTATGGCCTGTAGCCAGTAGAAAGCTAAAACAGTTTAAAGTGTAATTCTTCTCCCAAGAAGATGGTCCTCTAATGTGTCATTGGAGACATTTATTTTTTTTGTTAATATATTAAAGGCAAATGCTTTTTTTTTTTTTTTTAAGTAACACTTAACATAACTTAAGTATTCCTACAGATTTTCACTAAACTTCTTTTATGACATTAACACTGTACAAATTAATTCCAATTAAAATAGAAATAAATAATTGCCTAATTACTTTTAGTATTTAAGTGTTACTAAATAATATTACAGGTACTGCTTTTTTCATACTAAGTCCAGTAGCCAAAACTAACTCATGAGAGGAAGAGCTCACCATCATGATGTAACTCCACCAAGTCTGATTATCTTCTTCTGCCCATTTTTTTGTTGTGTGATATATTGGGAGGGTAACATTATTTCTCAAGGTAATATTTACATAAAACACTAAAACGTTTTGGTCTGAATCCTGCAAATACTTAAGCACATGCCTGACTTCACTCAGGTAAATAGTTCCGCAGAAGTCAAAGGGACCGCACAAGCTATGAAGTTAAGCACTTGCGTTCGGTTTTGCAGGATAAGGGTCTAATCAAAGACTAAATGTTTTTCCCTTTGATTTGTTGGCCCTGGGCTCTTTCTGTCTATGCAGGTATTCATCATATCATTTTGTTGTCTTTGCTGTATCCTACTCTCTGTTGTTACCATGTGTTGCTACATATCTTTAGATTAAATATTGTGCATACAATTAATATCACTTTAACCATTCTTCTCACTTGGGTCCTTCATTAGATGCAGCTGGTGTCTGAGTTTCCCTTCACCTTGGGTAATCTGTTGCTTTAGCAAGGTGATAGTTTTATGCTTTTGGCACTGCAGGCAGTGCAAGAAGGTTCCTCTCCCCCTCCAAGGTAAAAGAAAGTCCAAACAAACCTCCCGTTGACTCTCTTGGCGACAGTGGTTCTATTTAGTTCCTTAGCTGTAGGGCTTTCTGCCTACCATATCCAGGTGGAGAGACCAGTCTGTTCTTCTACACAGGCCGTATGTAGGGAGCAGTGATCTGTTCCAGCCTGAATATTCCATTTCTCACTTCTCCCGTGGTCACTTCCTACCCTACTCTCCATCCCACCCTCAACCTCCACTGGCTCTGTTCCCAAGGCCCTTCCAGCCAGGAAAAATTGGGAATAAGACTTTAACTTGTAAGCTGAAGAGTTTTTTAAAAATGGAAGAAAGTCTTCTGATTTTTTTTTTTTTTTACTTTTATCATAAGTTTCTCTGATTTAGGAGGGGCGGGGGGGTCAGAAAAATCAGTTGGAAAACTTAAGGGGATATGCTCAAGTTCAATAGTGTTTTAATGTAACATCTTTAATAGTTGCATTTTTTCCCCTGTAGATTTTAACTTGATTTCCCCCCGCCCCCTGCATTCTATGTGAATTCAGTGCTTTCCATGCTGAAAAATTTAACAGTACCTTACATTCTAACATATTGTGCACACCCACTCAGATGAGACAATGAGAGAAGCAGGTTTATTTATCTTAGTATGTGGAGTTTGCTTTTTTTTTTTTTTTTTAATCTCAGTGTAGGAAGTATTGACTGGTTTAAAAAAAGACAAATTTGGAGGAATTCTGAGGTTAAAATCTACAGGTGAAAAATAACAAGTGGATATTTGGCAGTATGACTTGCACATCTGGAATTAGATTGCCAGGTGAGGTTTACAATGCCTGCTATTTTATTTTTTCTCTTAAGGCTAATGAAACTTCAGATGCAATCCTTCAATCAAAACTTAAACAGCTGGCTAGACAAGCACTGGATAGGTGAGTATTTACAAAACACTCATGCAAACCATTGGTTTGCAATGCATACTTTGAGCTGGATTCTCTGGTCCGCTCTGTCCATTTTGTGTTGCTCAGGTAGCACAAAGGGGATGGATTCTGGCTTGAAATGGCCCATGGAGAGTTCTCCTTTTGGAGGAGAGCTCCCCACTGGCATAAAGCTGACAGAAGCAGCTCCTGTGTCTACTGCTCTAGGGGTATGGTGATATGCTGGGGTAGGGAAAGAACAGGCTAAGAGTAGAATGGAGTTTCATAATGTCAGTTCTCTGCTGACACTAGGTCCCTTAGGACCCCCGCAGCATAAATTAGAGAAGCCATGGGGCTGCTCTAACTAATGCTGGGGTCAAGCCAGCACTGAGCCAACCCCTCCTCTGCACTGAGTGGAGCTTTGATGCAGGGGAAAATTGAACCCTTTAGTTTAATCTGTATGTATATCAGTGTATATATAGTAGATTTAGTGGGCTAGATTCCAATCTCAGTTACACAGGTATAAATCCAGAGTAACTCTACATAAATCAACAATGTAGCTGAGATTAAAATATGGTCTGTAGTATGTTGAGTTCTGGCAGATATTATTTCAACACCCTTGTCCATCTCAACATGATAAATTAAATCTCTTCATATCCACATGAATAGTGAACATCGTAATGGATTTTGATTTTTGTGTTTAGCTTCCAAAACATTCGTACATTCTCACATAAATCCTCCAACTAGCATAATTTTAAAAGCGACAGAAGCTTGAAAATGAATTAGGCCTAAATTGTTTTATATGCTAATTACTTTTGGTGTATTTTTGCCATTCTTACTACGGGAGAAAGTAGAGCGAGATGCTGGCATCAGGAACTTCCTGAGTATGCATTTCACATCTGCATGAAGTGACTTCTTTAGCAAGAGCAAAATAGATAGTTTTGTTTGTCTTTCCATCTGATGTTAATTATATGGAGGCATGAACAAGCAAATTAATAATTAAACCGTACATTTGTTGTTGCTGTAAACAAACATAGAATATTTGTTTTAGAGCGGAGGCACTGAAAGAATCTATGTCAAAGTCTTCTCAAAAAGACAGACAAACTGCAGCTAAACCGAATCAGCCAGTCAGAATGTTCTTCCCATTGGGACCTGATTTTTCCTTGAATGATAAGCCACAGACAATCAGAACAGTGCAAGCTAGTGAATCTCAAGGCCAGAGATACACCACAGAGGAGATTGAAGTGCTCAGGTAAGATACAGTCCAATTTTCCCAAATTTTATTATCCATGTAAATGTACTGCAAAGCGCTAGATTGAGATATAATTGGGTTTTGTGAGAGGAAGGAGGGATGGGTGATTTTGGTTTGGTTTTGTTGGTTGCTTTTTAAGGAGGTGGGAGAAATATTTCTGTAGCATTCATTACCACAGTACAGTAGAACCTCAGAGTTATGAACACCTCGGGAATGGAGGTTGTTTGTAACTCTAAACAAAACGTTACGGTTGTTCTTTCAAAAGTTTACAACTGAACATTTGCCCCTTTCTGTCTCTGCTGCTGCCTGATTGCATACTTCCAGTTTGAAATGAGGTGTGTGGTTGACTGGTCAGTTCATAACACTGAGGTTCTACTGTATTGAAAGCTACCATGTTCCAAAAAATAATCTCTTTGTAAGTGAACACAGATGGCTCCTTGTCAGACAGCATTCTTTGTAAGGTGTATTTGATAGAGAATTTAATTCTCCTAACGGATTAAGTATTTTTTCTGTTATCTCTGTGTATTCATTATTTCGTTAGTGCAGTACAGAACATAGACGCCACACATTTCCTACCTGAATGAGTGTATTATCTAGGGGCCTGATCCTGTGAGCTCCAGAGATCCTTGTAAGATTTACAGAGTTCTCTCAAGTAAAATTGACTTGAGTGGGAATTAAGGGTGTTTATCATCTTGCAGGATATGGCACTTTAAGAGATGATTTTTTTTCATATTCATCCACTTTTAATCATTTAGTCAAATAGTAAAGGAGGTATGAATGATAACACTGGATGTATTTATTAGTGTATTTGCAAAGAGATAGTCAAGTGCACACAGAGCTATAGATGGGAGCTATATATATAGTTATAACTTTGTGAAAATAGAAATTTAAAGACATTGTTGAAAGTATATTTAAACAAAAGTATTTTAAGGCCTTGGACCTCAATGGTACAGATTGGTGTGCAGGCAGCAGACCATTGTACCTCTACAGAGGACCATTGGTCTGCTTTTGTGTGTGTCTTTCCAGGATTGATGCCCAACCCAGCAAGTACTCCAGCTTTAGAAATGTAGAACTTGTAGTTATTCCCTATTTGAGGCAGAATACCACCGGTTCTCAAGTGCACCATTTCTTGGCTTCTGTTTTTTCATTACCTTCATTGTTATTTCCTGGGTGTTGTGCTCTGGAAGTTGGTAAAACAAAACAGCTTTGAACATTATGGTCCAACTTTGACACTTACGATCATGTTCTCCTTTTATGATATGCAGAAAGACATCAAAGATAAATGGTATTGAGTATGTCCCGTTCATGAGTGTTGACCTGAGGGAGCGTTTTGCCTTTCCAATGCCATTTTCGTAAGTGATCATCAGTTACTCCAGTTATTTTTGTCTTGTTTTCTCTCAAAGTTTTCCTGTGTCTTCATTGCATTTCCTTTCTCAAAATCCAAATTGTTCAAGTAAGGCTGTAGCTCAGCCTTTACTGTTGCTAGCCAGTAGAGAGTATGCCATTTGTACCAAGTTAGTCTGACAGTAGAAGAGAGTGCTAACAGCGAAAACTGAGGAGTTGCATGCAAAGTTGGCTTAAAACTCAGCCATGATTTTCAAAAGTGACTATGGATTTGGGGTGCCTCAAATTCTGAATGCTCCACTTGACACCTTAATGGAGCCTGACTTCCAGTAAGTGCTGAACTCCCAGCCTCTGAAAATCAGGCCCCATTAAAGTGTCTCAAGTTGAAAACCCAAAACCATCTGTTAATTGAAAATTCTGGCCCTCCTTTGTACTGTCTGAACCTGGTGCTGGTCCTCAATGCATGCTGATCCTACTGTGCTGTGTTTTTTCACCTTGTCTTACTCAGTTGCACTTCCAGCTTGTTAGAAATCTTTGGACTTGGGGAGTGGGTGTGGGAGGAGGGGGGTGGTTTTTTTGTGTAAGCCTGACATCTTCACCACATAGTTTCAGAAGGCAGCTCTAGTTTCTCTTCAGAGTGGAAATGGAAGTGTGGTTTAGTGCCCTGGTTCTCAACCAGGAGTCTGGGGGCCCCAAGGGGCCACGAGTAGGTTTCAGGGGTTCCACAAAGCAGTTCCAGCATTAGACTCATTTGGACCCAAGGCAGAAAGCCGAAACCCCACGGCATGGGACTGCGGCATGGGGCCCCAGGCAATTGCCCTGCTTGCTATCCCCCAATGCCAGCCCTGGCTTTTATATGCAGAAAACCAGTTATTGTGGCACAGGTGGGCCGTGTAGTTTTATAGCATGTTGAGTGAGCTTCAGAAAGAAAAAGGTTGAGAACACCTGGTTTAGTGGATAGAGCACTGAACTGGGACTTGGGAGGCCTGGCTTCTATTCTTGGTTCTGCAGCTAGCATTCTGGATGACATTGGGCAAATCACTTCACCTCTCTATGCCTTTGTTTCTCCACCTGTAAAATGCGGATACTGATACTGACCTATTTGTAAAGCACTTTGGGATCTACTGATGAAGTGTGTTGTATAAGAGCTAGGTATTATTATGAGAGCAGCAACTTGGGACTCAGGTGACTTCCTTGGAAGAGGGGAACACAGCAGGGACAGACACTGCTTTTAGTTCAGTTATGTGAAACTGTTGGGAAGATTTATAAATGTAAAGTTCAGTGACAATATGGGGGAGATGGGAAATTATGAATTACAGTCCAGTATCTTGAGACCTGCCAGGCCCTGAGTGGACTAGCTCAGCACTTTCCAGCATTGAGTACATTTCTCCAACACCAGTGACCAAAAAAAATAATCTTTGTTGTTAAAGATGGCTTTTGGAATTCCCCTCTCCTGTTTGGTTTCATATGGGGGGGGGAAATGTCAACATTTAGTATTTTATATTTTACTTATGATATGTCCCAAATAATTGTTAGCTTTGTAAGGCTATTAACTTAAGCTACTTTATAGCTGTATTTACATATGTCATAGAATCGTAGAAGTGTAGGACTGGAAGGGACCTCAATAGGTCATCTAGTCCAGACTCCTACACTCAAGTCAGGACTAGGTAATAACTAGACCATTCCTGACAGGTGTTTGTTTAACTTTTCTTAAAAACCTCCAACGATGGAGATTCCAGAACCTCCCTAGGCAATTTGTTCCAGTGCTTAACTACCCTTACAGGTAGGATGTTTTTCCTAATGTCCAACCTAAACCTTCCTTTCTGCAATGTAAGCCCATTGCTTCTTCTCCTATCCTCAGGTTAAGGAGAACAATTTTTCACCCTCCGCCTTGTAATAACTTTTTATGTACTTGAAAACTGTTATGTCCCTCCTCAGTCTTCTCTTCTCTTCAGGATAAATAAACCCATTTTTTTCAGTCTTTCCTAATAGGTCATGTTTTCTAGAATTTTAATGGTATTTTGTTGCTCTCCTCTGGACTTTCTCCAGTTTATCCACATCTTTCCTGAAATGTGATGCCCAGAACACAGTATTCGAGTTGGGGCCTTGTCAGCTTGGAGTAGAATGGAAGAATTACTTCTCGTGTCTTGCTGACAACACTCCTGCTGATAGATCACAGAATATTTCTCTCCCCCACCCCTTTTTTTAAATAATGTTACACTGTTGACTCATATTTAGCTTGTGATCCACTATAATCCGATATCTTTTTCCATAGTATTCCTTCCTAGGCAGTCATTTCCCATTTTTTATATGTGCAACTGATTGTTCCTTCGTAAGTGGAGTTCTTTGCATTTGTCCTTATTGAATTTCATTCTATTTTACTTCAGACCATTTCTCCAGTTTGTCCACATCATTTCAAATTTTAATCCTATTCTCCAAAACACTTGCAACCCCTCCCAGTTTTGTATTGTCCGCAAACTTTATAAGTTTACTCTCTAGGCCATTATCTAAATAATTTGTAAAGATATTGAAAAGAACCAGACCCAGAACTGGTCCCTGTGGGACCCCACTTGTCCTGGCAGCTTCACTGTGAACCACTGATAACTATGCTCTGGGAAGGTTTTCCAACCATTTATGCACCCACCTCCACGTCAGCCCCCCGGCTCTGATCAGCACAGCAGTCTCTCCCACCTCCCACCCCCCGGCAGAAGCAGCTCGCCCTGCCTGGCTGCCTATGGTTCTGTGATTCCCTCAGAGTTCTCCCACAGCCTCCTCAGCTCTCCGGGAGCGGCATCCTGAGCAGCTCTGTGAGCTCTCAGTGCTGAGGAATGTCAAAGCAGCAAGGCAGTAGTCCCCCTCACTCCCTGCTGCCTGCCGCTGTGTTCTAGTACAGGGCAGAACAGGAGCATTCCACATTAATTATTTGCTTTGTTGTGGGAGCATAGCAGCATGCTCAGCTGTCAGATACTTCCCAGAGCTTTGAAAGGGGAGGGGTGCATGCCTGCAGGGCAGCAGAGATCAAAACAGTGAGCAGAGCCGTCATTGTGGGATGCTGGTGGAAGCCAGTTATATCAACAAAACAAACAGCAGCGTCTACACTCACACTTTGATGCTTTAACTTTGCCGCAAAAAGCTTTATGCCTCTCGCTGAGGTGGTTTTATTTTGAAGGCAAAACAGAAGAGTTCTGCCGCCAAAAGTAGCTGTGCAGTGTGTACACTTCCCCTGTTTTGTCAGCGAAAGGCAGCTTTTACCGAAAAAACTTTGTAGTGTAGACAAGGCTTTAGAGAGATGTCATCAGGCCCTGCTGACCTGAAGACTTTTAACTTGTCTAAATAATTTTGAACTTGTTCTTTCCCTATTTTAGCCTCAGATCCTATTTTCAATGGCATTCACTATGTTAGACATCCAATCGCTACTCACCTTTTTGGTGAAAATTGAAACAAAAAAGGCATTTAACATTTCCACATTTTCTGTTAGTCTCTTCCTCCTTCCCCCCTCCCCCTCCATTGTGTAATGGACCTTGTTGATTAATGTCTGTGACTGCTGTAAATAAAATGGGACATACCATGGAAAGTTGTTTCTGATCTGTCTTTGGTTGATTTGAATTATTTTTTTATTATTTTTAAATCCAGAGATAAATGCGGCAAGTTACCATTGTCACCCAAACAAAAGGCAATGTTTGCCAAGTGGGTGCGGCCAGATGACCTAACAAATAACCCTACAATGATCTATACTGTGTCAAGTTTCAGCATAAAGCAGGTAAGTTGTTTTTAAAATGAAATTTACACCAGCTATTCTGATAATTGCAGAATGAGTTCGGGGTCTTTTAAAGTAATGTTGGGGTGCTCATTAAAACCTAGCAAGTAGGAGAACTTTGCTTTGCCCTCATCTGAGACCTACATTTGATTTCACTGTGGACCATTTGACTTTGTTACGGCTGTCAATTAATTGCAGTTAATGCATGTGCTTAACGGAAAACAAATAAACTAGATAAAAAAATTCATCATTAATTGCACTGTTAATAATAGAATACCAATTTAAAATTATTATAATTATTTTTGGATGTTTTTTCTACATTCTCCAAAATATTGATTTCAATTACAACACAATACAAAGTGTACAGAGCTCACTTTGTTATTTTGATTACAAATATTTGCACTGTAAAAAAGATAAACAAAAGAAATAGTATTTTTCAATTCACCTCATACAAGTCAACTGAGTCCTATTTCTTGTTCAACCAATCGCTAAGACAAACAAGTTAGTTTACATTTGCAGGAGATAATGCTGCCCACTTCTCACTTTCAGGTGACATTGTAAATAAGAACAGACGTTCACATGGCACTATTGTAGCCGGCATTGCAAGGCATTTATGTGCCAGATATGCTAAACATTCACATGCCCCTTCATGCTTCAATTTGTAGGCTCTGAAGTTTTACATTGTTTGTTTTTGAGTGCAGTTATAGAATAAAAAATCTACATTTGTTATTGAACTTTCACAATAGAGATGGCACTATATTACTTGTATGAGGTGAATTGAACAATGTGATTGAAACTGTGATTAATCAAGACTATTTTTTAATCTCATGATTAATTGCAATTTTTTTAAATTATTTGACAGCCTTACTTTATTTATGAGTGTAAGAATAAACAGAGGGAAAATATAGGTAGGAATGGAAAACGTAACTATTGTACACCTCAGATCTCCATATCCAAAGGAATCTAGTTTAAAAAACTACATTTGGGCAGTCATGTATTCCAGTGAGCAGCCCATTATAGACTCATAAGGTATCTGCCTTCTTCAGACCTCTAAGAATCAAGAGTCATTGATCTGTTAGCTATGGGATGCATAAGGTAAAACTGGACAAGGGCCAGAGCACTCTAGCTTCTGACATGTTAACAGTAAAAATAAAAATCAGTGTTTTGCACCATACATGAGGGGGGGCACATACAATGGGTTTTTTGAGCAGCAATAAGATGAGTTTCAGAGCTTGCACTGTCTAGCCTGACCTAAACTGTTCTATCCTGCAACCAGCCACAAGATGGCAGAGCCCACCTTCAGCTAGCTTTAATCTCTTTCCATCTCCACTTGCTTCCGTGGATTTAAGAATAGTAGAAGCAAGGTTTGCCCTTTTGTTTCCTAACAGTAGCATATTACACACTTGCTTATGCCATATATACTCGATCGTAAGCCGGTTCGTTTATAAGCTGAGCCCCCCAAGATGGATAAGAAAAAATGGAAAATTTTTATAACTCGTTCATAAGCCGACCCTATAATTTAGGGGTCAGCAAACTTTGGCTCCCGGGCCATCAGGATAAGCCGCTGGTGGGTCGAGATGGTTTGTTTACCTCGAGCGTCCGCAGGCATGGAGGTAAACCTAAGTAAACAAAGTGTCCTGGCACGCCAGCCGCTTACCCTGACGGGCTGGGACAGCAACTGGTGGGGAAACTTTTTTTTGGGGGGAGAAGCTGGGAGTCAGGGGAGTAACCCCTGTGACCACCCCCCATGTGACCCCATCCCTGGCCCGGGACCCCCACACTCTCCCCATCCCATCCCTTCCCACCTTATCTGGGGAGGGCCAGAGGAGGATGTCTCTGACCTGGCTGGAGCTGCTCCGGCAGGCTGGGCAGCGCGGCCACAGCCTGCTCCGGCGGGCCAGACTGGGCTGCGCGGTCGCAGCATGTTCCAGCGGGCTGGGCCGGGCAGCACTGCCACAGCGTGCTCCAGCGCCCGGGCGCCATGGCCACAGCCTGCTCTGGGGAGTGGGGCCGAGCGGCACGGCTGCAGCCTGCCAGCCCCAGAGCTACAGCTGCTTTGGAGGCTGGGGGGAGAGCAGCGTGGCCAGAAGTGGAGAGACTCTGGCCCCGCCTCTTCCCTTCTGTCTCTGCTGGCTGTGCTGCCTCTCCTTGCTCCCTCTGTTGGGGGAAGGGCTGTGTCCCACCTCTCCCTCTCTATACCCGTTCATAAGCCGACCCCCTTCTCTGGTGCTTCCCTTTTTTACTAAAAAAAATTCAGCTTATGAACAAGTATATACGGTATGTAATATTAAACCATGTGTTTAATTTGATGTCTGTGAGTTGGTGGTTGTTTTTTTTTTTTTAACCCTTGCTAGGAAAATTAGTGACAACTTAAGTTATTTTTCTCCTCTACCAAAGATATAACTTTACATTGAGGTTGGTGGAGCTTTGTAATTGGCAATTTTTGCTCTACCAATCAAAATAGCTATGTCATTGCTCCATTTGCAATCTGAAGTCAGACAAAACTAATTGGTCCTGACAAATGATTAACCAAATTCTGTGCAGGTAAATTTAAATTTAGGCCACATAAATGGAAACAGAAGTCAGACCACCGAAAGTGGTGGAGGGTTTTTGTGGCAAAACTATATATATTTTGTCCCAATATTAAGCCACATAGGGCCTGATTCAGAGTCCTCTGAAATCAATGAGAGCTTTTCCCATTGTTCACACTGTGGACGTTTAGGAATCATCTGTCTCTGGTCCTCATCCAGTTAATTCCTTCCTTTTGTCTCAGTTTATCAGGTTTTAGTTTTGAGGAAACTTAGATTTCCCAACCCGTTGGGAGTGCCTTTGCCTCTCTCGGTTCAGTAATCCTTTTGTTTGTTGGAAGCACTTCTAATTGAACTTTTTCCTGTTAAATATTAATAACAGTTAAACCCTCACTAGTGTCTTTTGCTCCTAGACAATAGTATCAGATTGTTCTTTTGTGGCATCACTAGCTATCAGCGCTGCATACGAGAGACGGTACAACAAAAAGTTGATTACAAGGTAAATGGCTGTTCCTGTCTAAAATCTTGTCAGTTATGCAACGTTTAAAGCCTGTTTCTTTTTAACATTGGCTATAACAGATAGAAGTCTATATTATGGATGTGATGATTTAACATATGTTTATAAGCAAGCTTAACATAAACCTACATAAACCTGAGATTCTACAAAATGTAATAAGTCCAAATGTAGACATTTGGTTCAAAATTTTCAAGCTTACCTGCCTAAAGTTAGACTCCTAAATTCATATTTGGGCACCTGAATAAAAATGTCCCTATTTTCAAAGGTGCAGAGCACCTGCCGTTCCTGTTTACGTCACTGGAATTTGTGCTGCTCAGCACTTCTGAAAATGAACCCACCTTTTCGTACATGCTGAATATGGTTTTTGAATCTTCACTTTAGACACCCATGCTTGGAAAATTTGGCCATTTGGGGGGATTTTTTTTATTTCACTTTTATCTCCCTTAATCATGCTTCATTCACTTGTTTTCACTCTTTACTATGCCAACTGCTGTACAGTACGTGCCACATTTTACCTCTTGCTTCAGCATTGATGTTAAATAGAATTGAGATATTGTTATCAACTAAAGTCCTGATCCTGTGATGAACTCCACATGGGCTTAGCAGTCTGTCACATGGAGCCCACTGTGGGATCAGGGCCCAAGAGTTTTTGAAATTTTGTTTTAACCAAATTAGTTTTTAGCAGTATTTTGCCCAAACCACTGCCATTTGTCTTTTTATTACCTTATCCCTCGGGCAATGGTCTCTTAAAACCTTAACTTCTTCACTCATGGTCTTTGATTTGCAATGCATACAAATATTGTATGTATTCAGAAAGATATATAACATTGCTCGAATGGTAAAATATACAGTTGCATGCATTTATTTTGTTCAATTATCTATGAATGACTAGCTGACTGAGTGGGTGACTGCAGAAAGTATGAGGTATACAGATCTTGTTCGAAATATAAATTAAAACAAGAAAATTTAGTTACATTTCTCATGCTGTGATTCACACACATTCTAGTAATTTGAGATGGTGACATGCATTTTTAAATTCCAAAAATAGATCCAATTAATGTAACGTTTTTTTAAACATCAGGCAGTATGTATACATACAACACATTGTTCAGATATATTATAATTTCTTTTTCTTTTTCTAATAGCATAATTTACCCTCAGAATAAAAAAGGAGAACCAGAGTATAATCCATGTGGAAAGTACATGGTAAAACTTCATATCAACGGTGTCCCTAGAAAGGTAATTAGCTTTAAGGAGAGTAGTATGATTATTGGATAAGCTAACTACCTTGAAAGTTCTTTCTGTTTCATTGTGAAGCTGTGTTTTATTTCTCAGTAAGAATTCTAGATGTACATTTGTTGGAAAGCATGTGCAATTATTACACCTTGCTACATTTCATTTTGGTTACATAATAATGTGTAATATAGCATAGGTGCCTGACCCTGTAAAGATGCTGTGACACTCTGGGGATCAACACAGAGCAGTAAGGGGTTTTGCCCTGTAACCCTGGGTGCTGCTGTTCTGTGCTGCTTTTATTCAGACAGTGTGCTTTGTAGCACAGTAGCCTTACCCTGACTTTCACCAGCCTGGTTACTCCTTGGAGGGTGACATCAACACCCTTGCAGATCCAAGTTCTCCCCCAAAACGGCTTTCTCTGCAGTGCTCAGCCCCTCTTACTGTAGCACCACAAAACATTATCACATTTGCTGCGCCTTTAAAGAGACAGTACGCAACAGCTTATTCACTGGGGTTGACAAACTCTCCACTTCAATCAAAGCACTGAGTTGGTTTGTTGTAAAAGTAAAACAAGTTTATTAACAAATGGAGATAGGTTTAAGTTATGCCAAGTATAAGCAATAAGGATAGAAATAGTTTCAAACAAACAAGTAAAAATACACCTCTCAGACTGAAACTCAACAAACTAGAGTCTTTGGTTCAAAGAAGTTTTCTCACCACTGTCATTCTTCCAGCATGCCTGGCCCGTTATTTAGCCAGGACCCAGCACATGGAGCTCAAAGCACTTGATTTCTTTGCCTCCTTAGATGAAGGATAACTTAGGGGTTCAGTAAACCTTTGAAATATATTCTTAAGTGTATCCCCAGGTAAAGTAGCTTTCCCTTGCTGAGTGTAGACACCATGCTTTCTGGCCTAGACACCATGCTGACTTCACCCTCTACTTGTGATTTTTTTACAGTGCAAATGATCTTTCTGCAATCTCCAATACAAATGAATAGCCCACTGTCCTTGTCCACACCTGGCTTGAGGTGGCATCCCCTTTCCTTTGTCTGGAAAAACTTGTTTATCAACTTTCCCTGACGTGCCTGATTTAAACACATTTTAGTTACGCATTTCCAGCACCTCTGTATACGTGGTTGTAGATTAACCATACATCACACAAGAATATTAAGGGTCAGTGAGTTATTACATGACACCTCTTAAATAAATATCATGCCAACTATAGTGTGTGAGGTGTGTTGAGCAGGTTAGGCCAGCTGAGTTTTACATAGCAGCTGTGCTCTCCTACGGTAACACCTGCATGTAAATATCCTTACTCACGTGAATGAGTCCCATTGAAGTCACTGGGGCCACTCAGGAGAGTAAGGTTACTCACATGCAAGTTTGCGGGGTTGTGCCATAAGTTTGTGCTTCATTAATGGTCTGTACCAGTGACAGATTAGTGTCATGATGAGGCTGAGATATTTTCTTTGTGGAGCCATTACAGACCATTTTTGGAGTAAAAACTCACACACTATTCTGCCTAATTTAAAACAGAGATTTTAATAGTTTCAAAACCACCGTCATGTGGCTGCTTCTTTCAAGAAAAGGAAAAACTACAAACAATCGAATGAAGGAACTGGAATAGCAGATGTGATGAAGTCTGAGGCCATCTTCCCTTTGGACAAATATAACTATTCATATTTCTGATTGACTGGGTGAGGGGGTTTTGTTAGACTTTTCTATACATTTAATAATAATAATACCTAGCTTATGTATAGACCTTTTCATCAGTAGATCTCAAAGTGCTTTACAAAGTTGGTCAATACTATTATCCCCATCTTACAGCTAGAGAAACTGAGGCACAGAGTGAAGTGCCTTGTCCACGGTCACCCAGCCTGCTGGTGGCAGAGCTCAGAATAGGATCCAGGTCTCCCAAGTCCCAGTTCAGTGCTCTATCCACTAGGCTACACTGCTATTATGAATTAATTGTTGTGTTTTTAAGTCGAGGAACAATGTTTAGTTTCCTCGCAATCTGAAAGCAGCTATATGAAATAGAATGAGCTTCTGAGGATTTTCATCTTTTGAGAAAAGTTTGTTTGAATTATCACTTTTATGATAATTTGTTTGCTTATTTGCTCAGGTGATAATAGATGACCAGTTACCTATAGATCACAGTGGAGAACTCCTTTGCTCTTATTCCAACAATAAAAGTGAATTGTGGGTATCCCTGATAGAAAAAGCTTACATGAAGGTCATGGGTGGATATGATTTTCCTGGATCAAATTCTGTGAGTACCAGATTATTCTTTGCAATAGGCAAAAATGTCCATGTAGATCATCCCATAGCACATAGCTTTCCTTCAAATGAATAGTGATGAGATCTAAATGAATTGTCTGAGGAGAGGAATGACTTTTCTTTTGTATGTTGCTGTCTGGGTTTATTTTTATATATAGATTTTAAAAGTTATTTTGATGATTTTAGTAAATATAAATTAAGTTGCTTTTAGCATCTCTTGGATCACATACGCTAGAGACCATGGTCCCGATCTTGCAAATGCTTACACACGTGCTTAACTGGATTCAGTAGGAATAGTCCCATCAAAAGGGATTTCAGTGAGACTGCTTGTGGGTACAGTTACACATGAGTAAGTCTTTTAAAAAATAGGCCCCAAACCTGCAAAGTACCTATGTTTATTTTGAGAAGTTTCATTAGGGCTCTTGTATGTTTCATAAAACCATAGTTTTGTGTCTTACACTAATAACCCTTTTGGTCTCTAATGCCATTTGTATAATAAGTAAAAGAGACAATCTCCCTTATTAAGTTGAGGAATTGGCTAGGGGAGGAGCACATCAATCATTTTAGTGCTCTTATGCACATGGTGAGAATGGGTACATGTGTAACGTAGTATTATTTGATAGAATAATACTAACATACATAGTTATGTAACTTGGTATTCATAACTTGCATCTGAAGAAGTGAGGTTCTTACCCATGAAAGCTTATGCTCCCAATACTTCTGTTAGTCTTAAAGGTGCCACAGGACCCTCTGTTGCTTGGTATTCATATAGTAGTTTCTTTAGCAACCACAACATTTTATATAATGCTCAAGTTTAATCTGAGAAGCAAAACACTTGCAACAAGAACTGGATCGATTTTGCTGATCCAAGCAGACTTTGGTCTCTAATCACATGAAGAAATGCTTCCTAACATTTGAACTCTCGCAGCATATTTCTCAGTTCATACCAAAGTTCACGCCTGATGATGTCCTGAAAACCAGACTTCATTGCTTTTTACTTTGGTTGCTCATCTTCTTTTGAGCTTTTGGGTAGGTTATCGGGAACTTTCTCGTTGAATTTGGTTTTGTATAGAGAGTAACAATAGTGTAGATTTTTCTAAGTGTGTTCAAGTCATTACCATGACACACAATTTCAGAGAATAGGGAAGTTGTCAATGACAAGGAACAACTTGACTTCTAGCATTTGTTTCAATGAAAGATAGAAACTCCAGCTCTTGACAGTATGTCTCCTCCTTTGCATAATCAGAGAAGCATTTCCCAATGCCTGCACCGGATGTGTTGCTCTCCAAGGCCTATCTGTCAGTACTGGCCTTAGACAAGTTGGGAGGCATTTCTTTGCGCTTTCATAACCCTGCTTATTTGGGAGAGGGAATAGGGGAAAAAAGACCTTTTTTTTCTAAGTATTTTTGGGAGAGTGAAGCCCAGTATTGTGCTTGTAAAGTGCACCACTGCTAGTTAAATTGAAATTGCTTTTATTGTGCAGGCCTTTTCACCATGTAAAGCTAGTTGTGTCTTGGAGACCAGCTAGAGTAAAAGCTGAACTATTGAAGGTGCACTTTGTGGCAAGACTCGACAGAGGCTTGTTTTGGGACCTCACTCTGCGAGTACTGGGAATTTGAAACCATGAGCTTGAAACACTAATAATTGTACTTTAAAAAGATACCAGTGAACAGTACTGATTATCAAGCCACTTGTTTGAGAAAATCATTTTCTTATGCTTAAGCACAGGCTAGTCTAATGAAAAATTGCTCTCATAAGTGTTATGAGGCTGGTGCAAAATAGCTCTGTGTACAATATGAACTAAATTAATAGAAGGCATTTTAAAATACACTTAAAGGTAGCTTAATGTGTCTCTTATGACCAAATATGCTTGCATTTCAGAACATTGATCTCCATGCACTGACTGGCTGGATACCAGAGAGGATTGCTATGCACTCAGACAATCAGGCTTTCAATAAGGACAGTTCTTTCAGAATGCTCTATCAGAGGTAGAAGTTTGTTCTTCCTTGGTGACAGAAGATGCTCTTCGTGAAACAGATGCGTTAATGATATGAAAGTGACTAAAAACGTGATGGTCTTTGTCACTAGCTCTCAACACAAGCATTGTGGTCCTACTACATCTGATCCTTCATAGCCCCTCTCTGCACTCTCCTTTGAAATCCGCTGGAGAAATAGGTTATTAATGGTTTTGACATCAGAGGCTAATGGAGAAACAAGGGGGCTCTGTTAATAGATGGAGAACTGGATCCCCATCTCTAGCAGAACTGTAATTTAAAAAAAATAATAATCCCTCTTCCCTGCCAATGGTGGGGGGGCGGGAGGGGGAGAGAGTGGGAAATGGGGAGTGGAAGTTGAATCCTCCCATGGGCTAGATTCAGGAGGAAGCAGGAGCCAGAGAAAGGAGGATGGATTTCCCAACTATGCAGCATGAAGCTGACTTCAGAGTGGAAACAGGTGTGGTGAGGTTACTCTAATAGTGCCACCAGAGTCCTTACTAACTGCCCAACCAGTAGATCTCCTGTGGAGGAGCACAGAGGTGCTCTGTACCTGTCAGGACCATGATACTAACCTGGGGCTTAGTATATCAATCCTGCTGTCGTGATACGTGTGGCCTAATTATGTTTTTCAGCTGCAGGCGTTGTTCCTTTTTCCCCACCCCAAATTAAGAAAAGTCTTATTTAGCCAACCACTTTCTCCTCATTGTCAAGGAAGGCAGAGCGCCAACATGATGGGAAAGGGATCTCAGCTTGGCCAAAGCATTAAAACAAGCAAACTCTGTACACCTAACACACAACCTCACATTTTCTTCAGTAGATTTGTGACCTCCTAGTAGGTTGACAGTCACTCTTACGATCTGTTTCTCTGTATTTAGGCATTGGGGGGGCTAAATTTTCAGACACTACAGACCTACACTGATGTTAAACCAGCATTTGTACACACAAACTGATGTAGGAATATGGAAGCATGTACTTTTCACCCTCTGGTTCTTAGAAAATTTGCCCCCAAGATCATAAGTGCAGAGACTTGTGAATTTCAGTTTGATGTATATAGCGATTGACTAGCATCAAAGGATCGAACAATGTGTTAAGTAGAAGATTTATTTCACTGAGCGGCTTTAATAAATGATATTGTCAGTGTAAGACTGAATCTGACATGTTGTTTTCATGACAACAGTAATTTTCCTACTAGAGCCTGATCTTAAATGTTGAAAAGTAACAATTATACCTTCTTTTATTGAGCTTGTACAAATAATTTCTGTCTCCTTCAGAAAAGATTACTTGCACTCCAGGTTTGTAAAGTTGGGTCTTAACAATACCACAATTTGGAAGTAGAGAGTTTAGTGTTCAATAAATGTAATAATATTACACTGGTCATTTTACATGTGCTAATAACCTAAACTAAGCTTCCTTAATTTTCCCCTCCAGATTTCACAAAGGCGATGTCCTTATCACAACAGCAACTGGAGTGATGTCTGAAGAGGAAGGAGAGAAATGGGGTTTAGTTCCAACCCATGCATATGCTGTTTTGGATATTAGAGAATATAAGGTATCCAGTAAAACAAGAAGCTTTGTAGTGGGTGCTTTCTACATACCTGTCATCAGTTGTAATAGATGGTGGATTTAAACATGATTGTCCAGTGACAGTGGAGTTTTGCTCAAAGACGGGGCTTGAAATCTTTTTCTTGCTCAAGAGCTTTATCAAGTTATTCCCAAAAACGTAACACTGTATTTCCTTCAGTGTTTAGTTTGTGTATCTATTAGGTAAGATTAACAATATGTTCGCTCTTATCCTGACAAGATAAATCAGGCGATTTTTTTTGTTTCTCTAGGGGCTTCGATTCCTCCAGTTGAAAAATCCCTGGAGTCACTTACGCTGGAAAGGAAGATATAGTGAAAATGATGTGAAAAATTGGACCCCAGGGCTACAAAAATACTTAAACTTTGATCCTCGAACAGCTCAAAAAATAGACAATGGTAAAATGAATTTAAAAGATGTCGTCAAGTCAAAAAGAATCATACTTCTGTTTGACTTTTTTTTGTTTGTTTACTTATGTTACAAGTAACATTTAAGGATACTATCACTAGAAGATTAGGAAAAAAGACCTCTTGTCAATTTGAGTAATTGAGAGCAGGTGTGTGTGGGGGGGGGAGGGGGGCAGTTTCCTTGTTTTTGTGGGTCATTCACACAGCAAAGGGGGAGACGGGACAATAAACAAGACTGTAAAGCAAAAAAAAATGGCAAAGGCAGGTAAGAAGTACCTGATATTACTTTAAACTCATGTTTCAAAATTGACTAGATTTGAATAGAGTGGGTCATTTAATATATTTTAAATTTAAGAGGTTATTTCTTAGTATTAGCTTCTATTTTCCTTTTTTTAATCATGGGATTTTGGCCATCCTTAATACTTCATAACACATACTGAGAAACCTCATAATACCATTTACTAGTACGTGAGTGGACTCTTCAGTACTTCATTAGCTGTTTTCCTAGCATTCAGAAATACATATTCATACACTCCTTGTAAGGAATGTTTTATTTCCTTTCGCCCAAGAGATCCGTGATGTCTGTAATGGGGACTTGAAGATTTTCTCCCTGTGCTACACTTTAATGTACACAAATCTTTAGTTGCATGCACTTGTTGACTGGATGACTATAAGTTGCTGAGATATTTCTTTGAGCCCAACCGGACTACTACATAATTATGTAGAGAGATTGCTTGAGCAATACCAGGCACTGTCTTGTTACCCCATCTTCCCCCAGGTAGAACTAATGCACTGCATCAAGGAAAGCAGCATGGGTTTCCCATTTGGCAGGGCAAAATGCTGCCACTAGATCAGGCAGTTCCCAAATGCTACAATAGCTGCTCCACTTTGGAAATACAATGTAGTTTTTTTCCCTCTATGCTAACAGTTGTCTCTTGTCTCCCCACTGTAACTAATTAACCCTTTTTGGGTCTGGTGTCATATATTTTTTTACAAAACGATGGATGCAAAGGCACTGAGATTCCATGTTGATGAGTGTGGTGTAAATAGCTAGGTGGAAAAACATTATTTATTAGCAGAAAGTAATTCCATCCTGACACTGGCTTTATAATCTTCAGGTAGGATAGCTAGTTATTCATTTATTAATGCATCACTTGACAGTACTTGGATTTAAATCCCTGGGTTCTGTAAAGGGATTGTAAAGATGTTACTTTTTATGATTGGATTGGTATCTGACTAGTCTTGGTATCAAAATGTACAGTTGCGATGACACTGGATATTCTTTGTACTGTAAGTCTGAACTACATCTGTATTAGCAGCTTGTGTTACAGTGCTGTGAGCATATGGAGAGTTCAAGGAGCAGGATTTCAATAGCTTGTAGTAGTGTTGGCTGTGGTTGCAATTGGGGCGCTGGGGAGAGGATAATAATTGCCAGTGAATATTGTAAAGATTGTATAATATTGTAAAGCAAATTCCAGTGTGCTAGAGCTCACCCAAATGGATGTTAAGTGGAATGCTAGGGAAAGATCTCAAACAATGCCATGTGTACTTTCCTCTCAGAGTAAGAGCTTGTTCTGCTGGACAAGTGATGTCCCTTCTCTGATGGACCTTCAGTTAAATAGGTAGAAAACAGTGAGCTAGATTACCTAAACTGGAGGTTACCTATTAATTATATCTAATTTTTCAGAATCCTAAGAAAGTAGGGGGCAGTACAGAAGTGGTTAACATTGCCACTCTTAGGAGGGCACAAGGATTACGGCTTTTGCTCATCACTTAAAAATGCAAAATATTCTTTCTTCTGAGGACAGGGCCGGCTCTAGGATTTTTGCTGCCCAAGGCAAAAACAATTTTGGCCGCCCTCCCCCCCCCGTTTTTTAATTACCCCACCCCCGGCCCCGCCTCTACTCCGCCCCTTCCCTGCCTCCTCCCCCCTCGCCCTCAGAGCCCCCGAGCCGCCGCGGCGTGCAAAACACCTGATTCGCGCGCCGCTGCTCCCCCTCCCTCTCAGACTTGAGAGCCTGGGAGGGAGGGCGAGTAGCGGCGCGCGAATCAGCTGTTTCGCGCGCCGTGGCAGCAGCAGAGGTGAGCTAGGGCGGCCGGGGCACATTTTTAGGGGCGGCATTCTGACGCCGGCCATGCCGCCCTAAAAATGTGCCACCCCAAGCACCAGCTTGTTTTGCTGGTGCCTAGAGCCGGCCCTGGCTGAGGAAAAGCAAAGGCCTAACTGATCAGCAGAGACAGTGACCAGATGGTGTCTCAGAGGTCAACTTCAATCTCTTTTGGTTTACCAAACTGGCCTATTGTGGAGGTTGTTTGTAGACGGGAAGATGAACAGCGTGGACATTTGTATTCAGGTTTATGAGAATGGATTTTATACAAACCTTGGCGCTTGTGTGTAATTAGGGTCCTGCAAAATGTGTAGAGCAAAGATATTTTTCAAGCAAACAATGAAAAATGTGTTTCCTTTGTAGGGATTTTCTGGATTGCCTGGGAGGATCTTTGCCAGTATTACGATGTTATTTATTTGAGCTGGAACCCAAGTCTTTTTAAAGAATCAACGTGTATTCACAGGTTGGTCCAACAGAAAAGATTGAAATGTTAAGATCTACAACATAGTCATATTAATTTGAAGTTTGAAACAACAATATTGATGTGGCATTTTCCTTCTTTCCTTTCTCCTCATCAGTCCCCAATTTATGAGCATTGGTTGGAGACCAGTCTCTTCATTCAGAGCCTGACATCCACTTTAAAATCCATGGTCCAGATTCTGTTCTTTATCCCGCTCACATAAATGCAGTGTAACTCCACTGACCTCAGTGCTAACTGCTGGGCGATTGGACTTGTAGCCTTCTGCATCTTCCATCCATGCTTTCCTTGAATAGTCTGCTGAGGGGTGCTTGAAGAATAGGGCAGTTACTTTTACTTATCCCATGTCCCTGGGAAGTTAATATGTAGCCTGGGCAATGCACACAGTCTCTCCCAGATAAACTGAGAATATTTGCACTTTTAAAAATCACTGAAATTATTAACTTGGGATGGATGAGTCCCATGACCTTACCCATAACTCTGCATTTCAGCATTCACTGTCATAAGTCATCTTCCTTGTCCATTGATTTGATCACATCGCTCCCTATCCTCTGTCGCATCAAATTCTGGCTTCTTATCACTCCCTTCTAAGCTGTGTGTAACTCTGTCTCTCCTTACTTCTCTGAACTCCTCTCACTTTGTGTTACCAGCTCCACTTTGCCAATATTCTCGCCCTGTTGGCCCATGTATCAGATTCACACAAATCCCTTCATGCCTTCTTCTGTGCCACTCACTGGCTGTGCATGGTACAACTTTTGCAAAGGCTCTTGCTGTATCCACATTTAACTCAGTTGTGAAGACCCACTTCTGCTGTGCTGCCTACAGCAAGACTCTTTTTAATGTGTATATTAAGTAAATCAGAAAGGAAAATATTGTTTCCAACTTCCCAAGTGTCTGGCTGTCCATATATTGTTGGGGACTGTTCCTCCTCTGTCAGGAAAGCACCTGGCACATAGTGGCCATTACCATAAAGGTGTAACAGTAATAGTTGGGACCCGCTAGCTGATAACGCAGCATTCCATGGATCACATCTGAGTAAAGTGGAAAAAATTAATTCTAGACGAGAAAAGAGCCTGTATGTCTATGTTCATCCCCACAGTGTTCTGGGCTTTTTAGTGAAGCATTAATCCCCTTCTGTTGTTTTTCACATCAAGCATCCTCCTCCAGGCAACACATGAGGTAGTGTGAAAGCTTTGAAATTATGATTCAAGCTGATGCTGGTCCAAAGGTGGAGCTGCTAATTAAAACTAAAAAGCCCCCTCTGTGTATAAAATTGGAGAGACCAATGTGTGTAGATTTTTGGATCTAGCCATATTTTAATAGCTTTTAAACAGTCCTACAGTTACAGAAAGCACAGGTTCCCTTCCACGTGCCAGCTTTTATGCCATACATGGCAGTAACTCATTACCCCGTGGGTGTTTCCCTAAATCATGGTTTTTGCTTTTATAGTGTTTTGTGCATGGTCTTATTATTCATGGTGCTGTTCCTATTCAGCGTTTGTTCTGCAGCACAGCCATCTGTAAAATAAAGTGTTAGGGATAGTGTTTCTCACAGCTGTGCTTTGTAACCATTGTCATGCTTATGGCTAGAAGTTACGCAGGTTTGAGTGGGAAATCATTTAGCTTCTGTTACTTAGTTTTCCTTAAGTAGGAGTGGTATCACTTCCAGGCAGGATTTGCAGTTACTTTTAGAAATATGAATTAGTATCTTATTCATCAACCTATTATTATTACTTTTAGTACTTGGGATGCAAAACAAGGCCCTGTGAAAGATGCCTACAGCCTGGCTAATAATCCACAGTACAAACTGGAAGTACAATGTCCACAAGGTGGAGCTGCTGTCTGGGTTCTGCTCAGCAGACACATTACAGACAAGGTATTAAATTCTTCTTCTGACTAATATAATACTATTTTTCCTGCAGATTTATTACAATTGAGAAATAGTCAGATCTGGGTACAAGATTGTCTGTCTGATTCTCTAGATCCTAGTGAACCTCACTGTATGTCTTTGTCAACTGCAGAAGTAGTGGGGAATTCAGATCATGGTACATAAGTGTATGTCATACAGCTTCTGTTCTGCCCTAATCATGGGGTTTAATTAGTTCATTATGGTAGGATGTATGTAATCTCTCTAACAGTTTTTATTCATATATTTTAAATAAACTTGTTATGAAATTACTTCTACTCCTGTAAGCTGTCGCGCTGTAGCGTAGACGTGTTACTGCTGTAGAAGGATTTTTTTTCTATCACTAGTAAATCCATCCCTAATCAGGCCTAAGAGCAATATACTAGAGGCCTGATCTGTTCTCAGTGAAGTCCTTGGCAAATTCTTTACTGGCTTCCATGGGAGCTGGAATAGGCACCTCAGTAAATATAAATGCCAAATCAAGCCACATTGCTAATACAAAAGCAGCGATGAAATATGCATTTGAATTACACAATGCATTAGTAGTAATTTCTGGATCTGTGTTCAACTCATTTTAATATCTTTTTAGGATGACTTCGCACGCAATCGGGAATTCATCACAATGGTTGTGTACAAGACTGATGGGAAAAAAGTTTACTATCCAAGTATGTGTGTTTTTTAGATGTCAAAGTGATGCTCATGAGTGGATGAAGACTTGCTAACTTTTTTAAGCTGGTTAGAGTCATTCATGAATGGGAAACCCCAAGTCTGAAGGGGTGAGGGAGGATTCAGACTTCAGTGTGGTCAGTTGGGCTCTGATTGACCAACCAATAAAGTCTCAATGTATACTTTGGTCTGCTTCCATTGTGGAGAGTCCTAAGGGGCTCAGTCCTGCCCTCGGATATACAGAAATCCATTGCTGCTTAAACAGGCACAGTTTTTATATCTATTTCTCTTGTAAAACCAGCTACTGTGCCTGCACAGACAGAGGGTAGTGAATATTAAAAGCGAAGTGACAACGTGCTCCTGATTATCTAAAGGCACAATCATTCCCTACTTTTGTGGAATAAAAAACAACAACAAGAAGTGGAACTTTTTTATGGCTATTTGCATTGAGTGGAAGCTGTGGGTGCTCAGCACCACTGATAAATGCCGTTTATTTAAAGATCCAATTCAGCAAAGCTTTTAAATCTATACCTAAGGATGTACTTGGAGATAGGCACATGTTTCAGTGCTTTACTGAGTTAAGGTGAAGTGTTTAACTATGGATTTACATTGCCTAACTTTAGCCGCCCAAAATTGAATGCCTTGGCTGTGGTCACTATGGGCTAACTCCTGCTTGCCTTGAAGTCAGTGGGACTATTTGTATGGCTTTGCCTTCATTGCAATAATAGGTGGGGTTTCTGTATCAAGATAGCTAACTGTAAAACCCTAGAGCCGATGAGGCACAGGTAGTTTTCACCTTGATATAGCAAGTCAAGGTCCAACCCAGGTGCGAGGGTATAAAGTTGATCTTGACTTGATATTTCAAGGTAGAAACTACCTGTGCCTCATCTCCACTGACATCAAACTAGTGATCTCAATGTACAAACCCCACCTCTTATTGCAGTGAAAACAGTCTAAGGCAATCAGGACTAGGCCCATTGTTGGTTACAGCCAGGCAGTTCCCTGTGTAAAACAGAATTTGAGGTTGGATTGCTGGTGGCTCTTCATGCCCTTTAGAGGAAAGGTTAATTATACTAAAACACTGCCTTTTTGGTTTTACTGCAGCAGTTGTTAGTAAGGGCAGAGCCCATCATCTGCCAACTTGTTCAGTGAACTCTGCCAACAAGTTCCTCTTTGATTCCAGGCTGTGTTTCTGCAGTGAAGGTCCTTTGGGACCTAGGCAGATTGTCATCCATTTTTGCAAGAGCTGATCTCATTAAACATGTTTGTGTTCCTCCCTGCTGTATCGGAGACATCTTCTGATGTGACTAGCACTAGCAGCAGCACTTATGTGGTGTATTAGACCAAAAAATATTCTCACTGAGTGTCAGTGCATTTGTACAGTGGAGGAACTGAAGGTTTAATCTGTGTCTGAAAGATCTACAAGGGATTTTCCAAAGAAGCTGTTTGACCTCTTACTTTCAACAAATGATCTGTCCAGGTTTTGTTTTGTTTTATGGCCCAGTTTTTTTAACGGAGCTTTCAAACTGACAGAGTCATCAAACTGCTTTAAAATACTCTTTCCACTGAAACTGGGAATTGCAACAGATTTGTAAAGCTGCAATATTATTTCACCCATCTGTTAAAAATACAGTTTAATCCTTTGGCATGGAGAGGTGGATTTCCCAATGCTAAGCTTCAATTTATTTTCTATTAATCCCTTTCCCTTCCCCCTCTCCCCCCACACAGTTAAAAAGAACAGAGTCCCTTGTCAAGAGAATGAAGGGCCTGATCCTGGACCTATTGAAGTCAGTGACTAGATTCCCATTGATTTCAGTGGAACAGAAACAATCCTGAAAAGAACCAAGGTGCCTGTAAGAGGCTGAATATTCCTGAAAGGTTCTTAAGCATTATCTGTCAGATTATGTCACTGTATTATGTAGCTATAGTAAAGCAAACATTCAGACTGCAGCTATGTGGGTAGATAAGGGAATGCCGTCTACAGTTGAAAAGTTAGAAATGTACTGTGTCCTCTCTTCTAGGAGAGTGGGGGTGGGAGGAAAAGGGGAATTGAAAAAGAGAAAATCTAGCATGTTAGGAAGCTTTACTCTGAAAAGCTTTGGACACTTCCACAGCCCAGATCCAGTCTTTTGATTCCCTCCCAGCAGGGAGCCTCCATAAGGAACTCATCACAGGAAAAAGTTTGAGGGTCTCTTCCCCTCAAATATATTTTAATTTAAGATTCTGGGTCTTATTTAATTGTCTACTTAAAATCACAGTAGGACTCTCTCTAGAGTAAAGCTATTGGGCCTGATCTACTCCCATTGAAGTCACTGGAAGTTGGATGAGGCCTGTGATGCAAGAAAAGGGCATTAGGCTGCATTTCCCAATGCATCCTGAAAAGGCATCTATGGCACAATGAGTGGATGCCATATCATACCCAATTCCCAGACACTGTTTGTTTGGAGTTGCTCTTGAAAGCCTTTTGAGTGTTTCATCTGTGAAAGTGGAAGATATTGTTATTTTTACAGTTAGCTAGGCTGGGTGTAGCTTGTATTCCTGTGTCACCAGCTTGTTGCCAGCAGAATGAGTTTCCTGGCATAAAGCCCAGTAATGAGGCAGAATGGATAGAAATTTTCACCACTGCTGGGGGGTTTTTTGGTGGTGAGGAAACATGCATCTCTTTCTTTCCAGCTGATCCTGCCCCATATATTGATGGGATTCGGATCAACAGTCCCCACTATCTGACCAAGATAGCGCTGACATCGCCAGGGTCCCATACGTTTACACTGGTGGTATCCCAGTATGAGAAACAGAACACGATCCACTATACTGTCAGGGTATGTACTATAGAGAAACTACAATCATATTATAAGCGGAGTATTGAATTCAGTGGGAAAACATAGCAAAGAGAAAATCCTCCCCATTGGTAAGAGTGATGGGAAGTGTCTGTTGATCCTGGGGACGGTTTTCAGATTTTTTTTTTTAAATTGATTGCCCTATATTTCAAAGTACTTATTTTTCGATGAATATAGTTGTTTTTGGAAGGGGTCGGGGGAAGATGTGAATCATGGACAGGACGCACTGGAGAAAGGGAAGCACTGTGTAGGTGCTCTAGTGCATATCTATAGAGCAGCTAGGAGCTGTGATTCCTAGCTCAGATAGACAGACACACACACTAGCTCAGCTTTGGCTAAGGTGCTAAAAATAGCAGCGTGGCCATGATGGCACAGGCAGCAGCTCAGGCTAGCTGCCCAAGAACATACCCAGGGGGTCAGGTGGGACTACATGCAGGTGGCTAACCTCTCTGGCCACGCTGCTATTTTTAATGTGTTAGCTGACCTATAGTGTGTATGTCTTCCTGAGCTGGGAATCACACCTCCAGCTGCTGTGTAGACATACCCATATATGGATCTCCATCTAGTGAGGGCAATACAGTCTCAGTTCTTGCGTGCAGCGCTTTGTTACATTACTGCAGTCCAGAAACTCTCTCGATCATAATCTTATAATTAGACTAGGTTAAAAAGATGAAAGTATTTTTGTTTTATTTCCTCAGCTAAAATTAAACATCTGCTTCAAGGTAAAAGGCTCTAGCACTGGCTCATCATTGCACTACCCAGCCTTCATCCACTTCATATTTCAGTAAAGATGGTTTAAAGTATTTTCTTCCCTAAATCCTCACGTACACAGTAATCCGAATGAAAGGTCATCCTGTAACTGACAAATTCTATGCTAATGTGTTACGCATTTCCTTTGCCACTACAGAAAATAAGACAGTTCGCACCCTCTCCCCCTACATTCTTTACGCTATAAAAATGTGACCTGGAATTGGATGCAGTTCAGTTATGCTTCCCCAGTGCACCTCTGCCTTACCGGACTTCACTACAGGCCACTTTGACAAGCACTGGTGGAAACGGAGGACTCTATTGCTATTGTTTTGCACCTGTGTTGAGCTCTGCATTTAAAATGACTAGACTGCTCACAAACAATGAGAGATGAGCTGTGTTCTCAAACAAGTATTGTATGAGGAGGACATAGTTCAGAGCAAACAACTGCCCCTTATTTCACTACTCAAATACTAATCTCAATCCCCACCCAAAAGCATTCTGGGGGAAGGGAGGGCAGTGGAGGATAATGGTTGGAGCCCAAGCACTGTAGCCCCAGTCACCCCATGGTGACTTTACATATCAAATACACAAACTTTGAAGGGCATGTTATTGTGGGTGGTATCTGCTGTTTCCCAGTACTCACTGGGCAGAAAGTGCTTCTGGTTCTCGTAATATCACCAGCCTTTTCTTGTCCATACGTAATCTGCTTGGTGTCCCTCTGCTCTGCACACTAAACACATTGAGCAGCTAGCTGGAGCTTTAGGGGAGTATGCACTGTGCTAAGTATCAGAGAGCAAATTAAAGCACCGCTATAGGTGTTCACAGTTTGCTTTGGTGAGGGGACTAGGGCTTAATAGTTGAAAGGAGTATGGGTGCCCACAACTCCGGTTCTACCCTGTGCCCTCCAACTGTTAGTAATGTTCGAAGCATCTGTTCCCCCCCCCCCCCCCCCCCCCCCCCCCCATTGCGCCAGGAAGGGAAATAGGGAATGTTCTCTTTTTGTATAGACCATTATATTGTACAAATTAGCTGATGTCAGTCTGCATCTTTTACCTATTGGAGACAGATAGGGACTCAAGAGCTCCACAGTTGCTGTGCATGTAAAGCCGCTTTTTTCCCATAATTATATTTTGTCATGGTTTCATACTGTAAATGCTTGGTTGATTTGTGTGACTGAATCCTTCTTCCACAATCTAGGTGTATTCAGTATGCAAGTTTACTTTTACCAAGATCCCTACCCCATACACCATTTCCAAACGGGTAAGAAATTGGATTTTCTTCCATAAATCAGTGCTTGTTGTTAATCTGCTCTGGGTGTGTGAAATTCCTGATGTTTAGAAAGAAGGTCCCTCTCGGTCTCTGGAGTTGTTTTGTATTAGTTAATTTTACATTATTTTGTTTGGTATTTTCCATGCAAAGTGAGCCTCTTGATGAAACACAAATGTATGCTTTGACTTAGAATGTCTCTATTGTGCATCCTCTACAGTAGTGTGAGTGGAATAACTTGTGAGCTTCATTTTTTATCTATACTCAGAAGCTCTTGCTCTTTTTGGGTTGTTAGAACTTGAAGGTAGTGGCCTGAATATGATCAAGGAAAATTTGAATACTGAATTGTTTAATCCAAATGAGAAGGGGTCTGAGGCTTTAAGCTAAATAGCTTTAATATTTGTTGAAGTGGAAGGCACTATGTAAAAAAAAAATTTTTTTCTAAACACTAAAAATAATTCTGATCTTGTCTATGCTGGTATAAATCAGGAACAACTATTGAAATCAGTGGAGTTACACACATCAACTGAAGTGAGAAGAATCCAGGACTTCACTTTTTTATTTCTCTGTAGTGAAACTAGAGAGAGAAAACACAAGATCTGCCTGTAATAAATAGGGCACCATCTGTTTTGTTTCTTGTCAGGTTAACGGGCAGTGGAAAGGTCATAGTGCTGGAGGCTGTGGAAACTTCAGAGATTCCTACAAAAACAACCCCATTTACCAATTTCAGCTGGAGAAGACTGGGCCATTGCTAATTGAATTAAGAGGACCAAGGTTTGTGAAGAATAAATGTTGTGTATCAGTAGTTAGAACATGAGATACAGATCAAGTGTAAGCTTTTTTTTTTTTAACTTGTCACAAACTTGAACTTTAAAGGCCACTTAATTTCCAGCTGAACCAATCTTCATTAATGGTTTTTCCCTTCATTCTCATGATTTTCAAGCAGCTTCCACTCTCCACCCAGCTGTTAAACAATGAATCATTTTTAATGTTAAGGATAACTTATCTTTCCCTCTTGAATTCTCCCCATATGCCAGAATCCTCTTTCTATCTGCTGGCTAGGGGTCAGACCACAGCTGCACCTTGCATGGCAGGGCACAGGGGGCCTGGCATGGCCCCTAGGACAGCTAGCCATGCCTGTGGCCCCTTTATCCCTGCAGTAGAGTCAATGTGCAGGAGAACCTCACCCCACCCCTGAAGGTGTGACACAAGATGTGCTTTCTCAGGCTGGCAGGCTACAGCTCATATTCTGTTTGTGCTCTAAGGCTGTGCCACTCCACACGGTCACCAACATTGAGCTGCATGCAGCTCAATGGCCTGGTTGTGCTATGACAGAATAGCCACATGCATTGAGGGAGGGATGTGTATAGCACTAGAGCACCATTCATCCTGAAAGCCCCCAAAGTATTTTATAAGCATGCCTGGGGCATTTGCCCAGCACTCACCTCTGAGGTAGCAAGTGGTAATTGTGCACCACCCCTACTGCACTGCACTCCACTTCCTAAGAACAACTTCTGCAGTTAAAACTGTAGGAGGAATTTGGGAAGGCAGACTGATGTAGACACTGAGGCTACAACCCTTACAACCAGTGCAATTGTAGTGACATTGCATGGTCACGTTAGGGCCTCTGCCTAAAATCCCATCAGAAAGACTGTTCATGTCTTCACTCCGTAACAGGTGAAGCTGTGAGTGGCAAGCCTCCTGGCCCCCACTGTCACTTTCTAGCAGAGCCCCACTAGCAGGCACCTATGCATTGTTCCTAACTGACACTAGAGGGTCAGTGTCTGGTCACTGAACAGTATTATAAGGAGTCAGGCAAGTAGGTAGGTGTTGGTTTTGGCAAAGTACTCATTCATGCTTCTTCAGGGTACATAAGCAACACTTGCTCTCTCCAAAAATGAGGATCTGTAGAAGCAGTTTCATGTAAGCCAGACTAGATTACTTACCTGTCACTAGCCTGCTGCTGCAATAACTTGGCACTTCCCTTCTGGTGCCCCTGCTCCTTGGGATTTGATTCCAGGTTGAAGGGGAGGGGGCATGCACCTCCTCTGATGTGTGTGGAGCCAACTTGTGCTCAGTTATAGAGATGCAACTTGGGGGAAATTCTATGGAAGCCAGTGAAATCTGGACCCATGTAACTTAATTTCTATGGTCTCTGCTATTCAGCATATGCACTGATCTATAAAAGCTGAAAGCTTTGCAGCCAAATACTAAATTTGTCTCTGAGTTTCTGAATGCAAGTGCTGACAAGTGTAGTTAAGTGGCAAAAATAGCCTTGCTCTAATTAAGGAGAGAAATAACTTGCAGATGTGCTAGTTGCTTGCAGATGTCTTCCAGTTATAGCTCAACTTTAATTTGGTAAATCATCTATTTGACATTTAAAACAAGGGTAATGAAATCTGTCTTTACATGTAGGCAGTACAGTGTGGGGTTTGAACTTGTCACAGTCTCTACAGTAGGAGAGCCTGGTCCCTCTGGCTTTCAGAAGAAGAGCAGTGGTGACTACAGGTAAAGCTCATTTGATTATATATACACTTTTCCTTTCTCCCTTAAATACATCTTATTAAGCTGGCATTGTATTTTTTTAATCAGATGTGGATTTTGCTACATGGAGGTGGAGAATGTACCAGCTGGAGTTTACAATATTATTCCCAGCACCTTCCTGCCTCAGCAAGAGGGTCCTTTCTTCTTGGACTTCAATAGCGCTACCCCTCTTAAGACATCACAACTGCAATGAGAGGGCACGTCTCTACATTACTTTCTAGGGAAGAAGTCAAGAGCTAGAGCAATGCCATCTCCTGAAAACACTGGGGAAATATATCCCTCAACCATTGACACAAGATGCATAAAACTACCTGGAAAAAGTAATAGCTCAGGGCTTGGGCCACCAATCTCACTGCATGAGCCACTTCAGTGTTTGCTCATGCTTTTTGCTGTGCAGCCATTAGGGTGAGAACGCTTCAGAAATTCTGATTGATGGTAAATTTTTGCGTGAAATGCTTGAATGTAAATCTTATTAATCATGTTAACAAATGGCAGGCATTAGCTTACTGCAGTTTGGCACCTTATACCTCATCAAGTTTTGAAGTCTTTCCTCTCCCCCCATAGAGGGTAGCTTAGTTCTAACAATCCTTGCTTAACTTTTACAGTAAACATTGTAGAGAAAAAGGAGGGGGTTGTGTGTACTGTTTATTTAGAGCAGGGGTTCTCAAACTGGGGCTTGGGACCTCTCAGGGGGTCATAAGGTTAGTACATGGGAGGTTGCGAGCTGTCAGCCTCTACCCCAAACCCCACTTTAGAACAGTGTTAAATATGTAAAGAAACGTTTTTAATTTAAAAGGGGAGGTCGCATAGAGGCTTGCTATGTGAAAGGGGTCACCAGTACAAAAGTTTGAGAACCCTTGAAATAATGAAGTAAAAGCCAGGGGGTGCTGTTCTGGATGTTAAAAAAGCAGAGTTGTTTATACTGCCCCTTCCTCAGATAAGAGCCATTAACAGGGAGCACACTGTAGTACAACACTCCTGTATTCTGCTGCAGTAGTTGAGCTCCTTAGCTACAGGAGCTGTTGATCAGCTTCAACAAAAAGGTTGTCATTTAAATACTAGCTCTTAAACTATCATTTCTGCAGGAGCAGGGCTTTGTGGAGTTATGATGGGAGAGAAAAGAGGCTACTCCCTTCTCTGTAATAATCCACACATCTGCAGCACTGGCATTACAGCATCACAGACAGAAGACTGCTTAAAACAGCATTCAGTCAGAGAAGCAACCTTCTTAAGCTGTAACTAGCCAAGAAGAGACCCTAAATCTGCAGCTAGTGGTGCCAACTGTCCAGGATTCTTCAGGCATTAATCTTTAATTAATGGTTGTTATGTGATGAAACCTCCAGGAATATAGCATTTGACCCTACTTCTACTGCAGTCAGTGGTAAAACATTGACACTGAGGGGAGCAAGCCTCAAAACAACCAGCAACTTTGGGTTGTTTTTTCACCAGGAGAGCACCAGTGCATGAGTTTGGGGAGATTAAGCAGTAAGATTCTCTCCCATTAAAGTTTGCTGCTGCAAATGTATCTAGCATCTTAATAGCACAGGGACACTTTTTTTTGTTTAATCTCCTGTGGTTAGACAGCAGCTTTGAGGAGAAAGTAGTTTGGAAAAAAACATTAAGATGTGCCTTTTAATTGCAGTTCTCTGAAAGACCATCTGGGTTAGGAACTGCATCATGCCAGTAACTAACTCACTGCTTATCTTCTTGGCAAGGAAGTTGTAAGATAAAAAGTAGGACAAAAACATTGATCTAAGAGCTGTCCCATTGCAGATTTTGGAGGGGTGGTGGTGGGAGGATGGAGTTTGAGGACATAGCCTAAATGATGTCCAACTTCCGTAAGTTGATCTTTATGGGCTCCGCAAAGTGGTCTCAGCCAGCTCTAAGGACAGCTGTGCAGATACAAAGCTGTATGTCCAGTTTAAAACATGTTGTGGGGGGAAGGTTTCAGCTCAGGCTTAATTATGCACATACAACTTTGCATATACAAAGGCCTGCAGCTACAGTTTAAGTCACTTACTCCATTTACAGGCCAGAAACAGTTAAAGCCCTTTAATTGTGTGTGTTGCTCCACCTGCTGCTGTTTGCACTTTAGTAATTTTTAAAAACATTAAAAAAATATTGGCCAGTCTTATTCCTTTAAAACTCTGTACAAGGCACACTGGCAGGTTGTGAAATTTTACTATTTTGCTGACCGGGAATTAAGCACAGTGACTTGCCCAAATCACCTGTTACATCATCCTCTTTTGGCTGATACTGCACAGGAAGTCAATTTTTCCCTCTGATCACCACCAAGCTAATTCAATGGCTTTTATATCAGTAATTTGACTTGAAATTGAACAAGTGAGAGTTTCAGCTTCCAGGCACTAGATCACAGAATTTAGTATAGATTAAATAAAGGAACAATCTTCAATCTCTATGCAGATTACAAGGTTATAACTGTCCCTGATGCCAGGGCAAGCTGTGCCTCTGAGAATACATAAGGGTAGATAGGCTGTAAAGGCCTGCAGTGGGCCAGTGCTACAAAAACACAGCATTACCATTTGACTGTCCAGATCCCATTAATAGTTGAGGCCAGGTATGCAGAACATGAGTCAGTTATATTCTAAACCTCTTAAAACATTGCAGTCTTGGTGTTCTCTGACAGTTTAGAACCATTTTCCATCACCCTACTTATCTGGGGCACGGAGCACATTAGCACGAAAAGGAAATTTTCAGTCATAGAACCTCAGACAGTATCAGATGTATATGCTGCCTTTGTGCATGCTAGCCTTAGCTTTATGCCAGAAGGACTTGCTTTTTACATTTCATTTGAGTATTGTCAAAAGAGGAAAAAGCAATCAGACTACTGCATATTTTAATCTAGTTCTAGAGAGATTTATCAGATGTAAAAAAGTTATTGGGAAATGACCCTATTGCCCAGTCAGGAAAACAAAACTGCTCAGCTAAATCTCCCCCACTGCCATAGAATCATAGAATATCAGGGTTGGAAGGGACCTCAGGAGGTCATCTAGTCCAACCCCCTGCTCAAAGCAGGACCAATTCCCAACTAAATCATCCCAGCCAGGGCTTTGTCAAGCCGGGCCTTAAAAACCTCCAAGGAAGGAGACTCCACCACCTCCCTAGGTAACGCGTTCCAGTGCTTCACCACCCTCCTAGTGAAATAGTGTTTCCTAATATCCAACCTAGACCTCCCCCACTGCAACTTGAGACCATTGCTCCTTGTTCTGTCATCTGCCACCATTGAGAACAGCCGAGTTCCATCCTCTTTGGAACCCCCTTTCAGGTAGTTGTAGGCTGCTATCAAATCCCCCCTCATTCTTCTCTTCTGGAGACTAAACAATCCCAGTTCCCTCAGCCTCTCCTCATAAGTCATGCGCTCCAGCCCCCTAATCATTTTTGTTGCCCTCCGCTGGACTCTTTCCAATTTTTCCACATCCTTCTTGTAGTGTGGGGCCCAAAACTGGACACAGTACTCCAGATGAGGCCTCACCAATGTCAAATAAAGGGGAACGATCACGTCCCTCGATCTGCTGGCAATGCCCCTACTTATACAGCCCAAAATGCCATTAGCCTTCTTGGCAACAAGGGCACACTGTTGACTCATATCCAGCTTCTCGTCCACTGTGACCCCTAGGTCCTTTTCTGCAGAACTGCTACCTAGCCATTCGGTCCCTAGTCTGGAGCTGTGCATGGGATTCTTCCGTCCTAAGTGCAGGACTCTGCACTTGTCCTTGTTGAACCTCATCAGGTTTCTTTTGGCCCAATCCTCTAATTTGTCTAGGTCCCTCTGTATCCGATCCCTACCCTCTAGTGTATCTACCACACCTCCTAGTTTAGTGTCATCGGCAAACTTGCTGAGAGTGCAGTCCACTCCATCCTCCAGATCATTAATAAAAATATTAAATAAACCGGCCCAAGGACCGACCCTTGGGGCACTCCGCTTGAAACCGGCTGCCAACTAGACATGGAGCCATTGATCACTACCCGTTGAGCCCGACGATCTAGCCAGCTTTCTATCCACTTTACAGTCCATTCATCCAGCCCATACTACTTTAACTTGGCAGCAAGAATACTGTGGGAGACCGTATCAAAAGCTTTGCTAAAGTCAAGGAATAACACATCCACTGCTTTCCCCTCATCCACAGAGCCAGTTATCTCATCATAGAAGGCAATTAGGTTAGTCAGGCACTACTTCCCCTTGGTGAATCCATGCTGACTGTTCCTGATCACTTTCCTCTCCTCTAAGTGTTTCATAATTGATTCCTTGAGGACCTGCTCCATGATTTTTCCAGGGACTGAGGTGAGGCTGACTGGCCTGTAGTTCCCCAGATCCTCCTCCTTCCCTTTTTTAAAGATGGGCAGTACATTAGCCTTTTTCCAGTCATCCGGGACCTCCCCCGATCGCCATGAGTTTTCAAAAATAATGGCTAATGGCTCTGCAATCTCATCTGCCAACCCCTTTAGCACCCTCCGATGCAGCGCATCTGGCCCCATGGACTTGTGCACGTCCAGTTTTTCTAAATAGTCCCGAACCACTTCTTTCTCCACAGAGGGCTGGTCACTTTCTCCCCATATTGGGCTGCCCAGTGCAGCAGTCTGGGAGCTGACCTTGTTTGTGAAGACAGAGGCAAAAAAATCATTGAGTACAGTAGCTTTTTCCCACATCCTCAGTCACTAGGTTGCCTCCCTCATTCAGTAAGGGTCCCACACTTTCCTTGACTTTCTTCTTGTTGCTAACATACCTGAAGAAACCCTTCTTGTTACTCTTAACATCTCTTGCTAGCTGCAACTCCAAGTGTGATTTGGCCTTCCTGATTTCACTCCTGCATGCCTGAGCAATATTTTTATACTCCTCCCTGGTCATTTGTCCAATCTTCCACTTCTTGTAAGCTTCTTTTTTGCGTTTAAGGTCAGCAAGGATTTCACTGTTTAGCCAAGCTGGTCGCCTGCCATATTTACTATTCTTTCTACACATTGGGATGGTTTGTTCCTGCAACCGCAATAAGGATTCTTTAAAATACAGCCAGCTCTCCTGGACCCCTTTGCCCTTCATGTTATTCTCCCAGGGGATCCTGCTCATCTGTTCCCTGAGGGAGTCAAAGTCTGCTTTTCTGAAGTCCAGGGTCCGTATTCTGCTGCTCTCCTTTCTTCCTTGTGTCAGGATCCTGAACTCGACTATCTCATGGTCACTGCCTCCCAGGTTCCCATCCACTTTTGCTTCCCCTACTAATTCTTCCCTGCTTGTGAGCAGCAGGTCAAGAAAAGCTCTGCCCCTAGTTGGTTCCTCCAGCACTTGCACCAGGAAATTGTCCCCTACACTTTCCAAAAACTTCCTGGATTGTCTGTGCACCGCTGTATTGCTCTCCCAGCAGATATCAGGGTGATTAAAGTCACCCATGAGAACCAGGGCCTGCAATCTAGCAACTTCTGCTAGTTGCCAGAAGAAAGCCTCGTCCACCTCATCCCCCTGGTCTGGTGGTCTATAGCAGACTCTGACCACGCCATCACCCTTGTTGCTCACACTTCTCAACTTTATCCAGACACACTCAGGTTTTTCTGCAGTTTCATACCGGAGCTCTGAGCAGTCATACTCCTCTCTTACATACAACGCAACTCCCCCACCTTTTCTGCCCTGCCTGTCCTTCCTGAACAGTTTATATCCATCCATGATACTACTCCAGTCATGTGAGTTATCCCACCAAGTCTCTGTTACTCCAATCGCATCATAGTTCCCTGACTGTGCCAGGACTTCCAGTTCTCCCTGCTTGTTTCCCAGGCTTTTTGCATTTGTGTATAGGCACTTAAGAACTCATTGATCGTCCCTCCTTTCTCAGTATGAGACAGGAGTCTTCCCCTCTTGCGCTCTCCTGCTTGTGCTTCCTCCCAGGATCCCATTTCCCCACTTACCTCAGGGCTTTGGTCTCCTTCCCCCGGTGAACCTAGTTTAAAGCCCTCCTCACTAGGTTAGCCAGCCTGCTGGCGAAGATGCTCTTCCCTCTCTTCGTTAGGTGGAGCCCATCCCTGCCCAGCACTCCTCCTTCTTGGAACACCATCCCATGGTCGAAGAATCCAAAGCCTTCTCTCCGACACCACCTGCGTAGCCATTCGTTGACTTCCACGATTCGACGGTCTCTACCCAGGCCTTTTCCTTGCACAGAGATTCTGATCGTTAGGATTACAAATAGTTGTAGAATGCTCCATTCTAGCACTTATAGAAGAGATGGGAGACTGACAAAGGGATATACAGATGTCTGTAAAAAGTTGCTTGCAGTCAAAGTTTCTTACTACACCATGATGGATCAGGCAGGCTGAGCTGGAATTTGCACATTGTAATTAGCTATTTTGCTATATTTCCAACAAACAGTCAAATATGAGACTCCTACTTCCCTTCTGCATGCAACTGTATCAACTCAAACCTGTTTTAAACCATAGAACTATAAAGATCCACATTATAAGTATGTACTGCACTTAGCTAGCTGGTGATTGAAACTACTCTAGTACACAATGAAGGTGCTGCAGCTAAGGAATTGTGTACACGAGGAGCATAAGTCACCAGATTCAAACCAATTGCCCTAGAAATGTCTTTTTAAATAAAAAGAATGATACTTACTTTGATCCTCTAAGACTAGGAATAACTCTGTTTACTGGGTTGCACACAGTGAGAGGAAGGATACTTACAAAGAGCCGTTTTCAGTATCCTTCAAAAGGATTTTTGGCATGTCCTGCACTTTCCCCTTCAATTTAGGCACTGTAGATGCCACATAGTTTGCTAGTGAATCCTACCTCAGAGCTGCTGCGGACATCATGCTTTACTTCCTTAGGGCCCAGAATTGGGCCTTCTGTTTTTTAAAAAACCATTAGGTTAATCATCCGTCTTGCTTAATCCGTCAGAGTTCAGAAAGAGACTTAATCCACATAGTTACCTTTCAGTGGGAGTACTAGCAGCATCCACATAGTCCTAAAACACAATAAAGCTGAGAGATTCCCTTAGAAGTTAGACATCTCCTACACCTAGCAAAATGTTTGAAATTAACATTTGTACGCAGTCTGACAAGATTGCGTATGTGCATATTTTGTACAGCAGACATACCTAAGGCTTCTGTACCTGAAGGTGAACATGCCACATACAGAAGAGTTTCAGAAACATGTTAGAACAGCCTATGAAAAAATGTAAGATTAAAAAAAAAAAGACACTGAGTACCAGTTTTCAGTGCATATTACCGAAAGTATGATGAAGCTTAAAAGGTGATAAGCCATCAATTCACTGCTCTTTGGTAAAGCCGTTTACATTGCATCTCACTTCAAGGCTGCTAACTTGTTACCACACATGCTTTAAATGTTAAAGGCTTATTTTTATACTTTCAGCACCACACTGCCAGCTAGTGTAATATTAAATTAACGGATGTTTTGAGCAGTCTAACAAAAGGTAACTCGAGAGAACTTGCTCCTTTGGTATTTCATGGTAATGTTCTATTCATATCCATTTGTCATTATGTATTTGATATACAGAATTGGCATTTATAAAAAGTTTAAAAATAAAATGGCAAGAGCAATTATTTATGAAACTGCATTTTCATTTCTACTCGTGTCTGTGTGCTCTTCAAAGCCTGCCTGAACACAGCGAAGCAAGCTATGCACATACACTTCAATTGTACAGTTAGCTACTGAACGCGGAGGTGTCCAGAGGAAGAGGCCCTTCCACATATTTACTCTTTAAAATTTAGTTTGCCCTTCTGCTGCAGGTTTGCAGGGTACCAGCTCCTAGTTTCTTGGGCCACATCACCCCCCCAACATACTTTCTGCTAGTAATGTCTCACCTTACTGGAATCTGCCTAGAACTTTCATGGAGGTACACTGGGTAATAAGGAAAACTTTGTTTTGGTGTTCTGTGGTGCACAAACAAGTAAACTTTCCAAGAGTGCAGGTGTTTTGGATCTTTAAGTAGTAACTTACCTTTTAATAGTAGGAAGGATTTGATGCCAAGGGAAGTAGGAAACAAGGAAGTGCATTTGAGAGTTGGCATATCTGCAAAAGTAGGTACTCAGCACTTAATTGCTTGGTTGCTTACTTAACTAGAGGCAGAATAGACAATTGGTTTAGCTACCAAGATTAGGTGAAAACATGAAAATTATGCAGTTTTATCAAGAGACATTTCTGTATTTTATTTAAGCTACAGTCTATCTATGTTTCCCAAAGTATTTGTTACTTCATAAACAGAGATACTGGAGATATAAACACTTCTTCCTAAGTATTTGTCTAGCTCGAAGAGGCTAATGATCTAGGGGTTAAACCTTTGTTCTGCAAGTTCCAGATCACTGAATGCCCATCTCTGTTCAAATGATCAGTAGCTGTAACACACTGAATCTCCATTAATTCTGACAACAGGCTCCCTTCCCCATGACTTTGCCTTGCTTTGTTACAGCTTTCCATAGTGAAATGAAGCACAGAAGTGTTAGACAACATATAAGACCTTCCTCTGCTGCATACTAAGTGATCTTTCAAAAAAGGCAACACTGTATACAAGTTGGCTAATCTTTGGTCATAGGAAATTCATAATACCAAATGAGTCTTGAATATAAATCTAGTTACAAAGCTGTAATGAGACAATACTTGTCCACATACTGCAGGGTATTCCTAGTGTTAGGTCTTGTTTGAAAATTTACTGTCCCAGATTTGGGTATTCTCCAATACACTGATTCTAGAACTGCATTAAGCCTCTGTTTTCATTTCAGTAATTGCCAGTGCATTTGGCATTAGAATCGTGAGAGATGATTTCATTGAGTGAATGTGGACCACGTGCACATTTTAGTTGTTAAGAGGTTTAAATATCAGACTATGGTTTTACTATGGAACTACGTTTAGAATAGCTACTGAAATATTTAGTACTTCAAATACACTGATACTGTACAACACAAAATAAAATGTGGAAAACCAAAATGTTTACTGTAGTGTGAAGAATTTTACATTTACTTTGAGAATAGATACACAAGCCAAGGGGCAGGGACAAAATACACCAGGACTGCAAAACATGGAATAGAAAATACTTTGGGTGATGCTAAACTCCCATCCAATTAACAACAAAAAACTGAATACTTTAGATATAGTAGGGTGCTTTCAGAAATGTTCAGCTACCAAAACTGAGAAGTCCTAGGATTTTTGCTACCACTTATTAGCATAACTACCAGACACCACTACTTCCTAACAGCTGCTGCCAAAACATGCCCCCATTCCCTTTCTATTTTTAGTGAACAGTTTCTCTAGGGGATACTAAAATTGGAGGTCCCTTAAACAGTTCTAAAACCCCTACAACCCACAGAGAAATTAACACATCATCAATCCACATTAGCAACTCCTTTTCTTCATGCGTATCTTAAGGACGAGCCTCTAATATTCGATAGGTCGAGATCTATAACTACTTCTCTCTGGCACATACCAATTCATGCCGTTTTACAGTAACAACACTTAAGGTGCTGAAAAATGATACTCAAATTCTTAGAAACAAGTTAAATCTGTCATTTTGGCACTGGATTAACCCTGGAAAAGTCGCACACACTCCACCCCGGAAAGTAGGGGGCTAGAAAGAGCACACAACTATTGAGTAATAATGCCACATTTCTGCCACCCTCTTGGGCCAATACTTTAGGTCATGACTAGTTTCCTCATGAGCATTGGAGGCAGGCCGAAGACTTCTAGACCCACACATGCAACAGCTGCCTTGTATATAAAATACTTCTACAGTTTCAGAATAATACAGACAAATACGGCTGTTTAAAGGATATGCCAATTCCACTTCAGAGATCCACTGTATCTAAAGTGCATCTCATTCTACAAAACTGAAGCCAAACTGCTCACAAGTGTTTGGCTTGGATTTCACACCCCTACTGGCATGTGTTTATACAGGAACAATGCTAGTTATTGCTTCAGCCAGGCTGCTACAAAACAGTTTACAAAGGCTGTGAAATACAGCGAGCACAACTTACATATTTGACAACTTGTCTGTCCTACGAAGATTTTACCGAAAAAAAAACTTCAGCCCTCAACATCAATTAAACTTCTTTAGTGCAGTTTTAAATCTGTAGAGTAAATGCTTAAGATTTGGCATATATTAAATAGTTATTGGCACAATGTTCCTCAGACATTTTGAAGTTCATGTATATTTATACTCCCATTAACCAGAGCAGCAGGAGGACTCAGCCAATTTGTACAGCTTTTCTGTCTGCAATGATCCCCTCTTTGACTTTCATGCACTGGAGTGAAAGCTGCTTCATTCGGTTATCCAAAGCCAGACCCTCAGTGGAGTTGCCACTGCTGCTCCTATTTTTGTTCACTTTGTTGCTCATCTTGTTCTCAGCTCCTTCTGCCCTATCCCCTGCAAAGACACAATTAAAATATTATTAAACCTTAAGTCTTAGAATGCTATATCAGTCAAGTGGGCACTCATACAGCTTCCTTCGCCAAAGTATCTAAGAGCTAGGACAAGTAGTAATATACTTAGGGCTCATCTACACTTACTGGAGGATTGACACTGTGGCAATCAATGCATTGGAAGTCGATTTAGCAGGTCTAGTGAAGACCTGCTAAATCGACCGCCGATCGCTCTCCCTTCGACTCCTGATCAAGAGGAGTATGGGGAGTCAACAGGAGAGCGTCTCCTGTCGACATCGCATAGTGTGGACCCCACAGTAAGTAGATCTAAGATACGTCGGTTTGAGTTATGCTATTCACATACAGTAACTCCTCTCTTAAAGTCGTCCTGGTTAACGTTGTTATGTTGCTGATCAATTAGGGAACATGCTCGTTTAAAGTTGTGCAATGCTCCCTTCTAACACATCGTTTGACAGCCACCTGCTTTGTCCACTGCTTGCAGGAAGAGCAGCCCGTTGCAGCTAGCTGGTGGGGGCTTGGAACCAGGGTGGACCCGCAGCCCCCCTATCAGCTCCCTGTGCTGCAGCTGCCCAGCAGGCTATCAATTGCCGGACAGTTCAGTTGTCCCTCCCCCCAATGCCATGTGCTGCTCCTGCCCTCTGCCTTGGAGCTGCTCCCAGAGACTTCTGCTTGCTGTGCGGGGGGGGGGGGGGAGGAGAAAGGAAGGGGCTAATGTCAGGGTGTCCCCCTCCCCCCTGCTTACCCCCTCTCCATATAGAGCAGGTAGGGGGCACGGACGGACAGAGAGAGCTTGGGGCAGCAGCTGCTGTCTCAACTTCCTGATCCACTTAAAGAGAATGCACTTAAGAGTGGGTCAGCTTACTTAAAGGGGCAGTGTGCATCTCTCTCTCCCTCCCACACACACAAGGTGTGTGTCTGACTCTGTCTGCTATGCTGTCTCCCCTCCCTCCTGTTCGTGCTGCCTTG